GAAACATCCACACTAGAATCGTCCCCTCAGTAACAGGAGTCAAAGGATTCCTGTGTCCAGGCCTGGCTGAATGTTGAACAGGAGCGCTTTTTCATGGCTGGCTGGTGACAAATTTTATATACAAGGATGAGGCAATAGGTTCATTAAATTATAATTTAACACACTGATGCCTTCTGACCTGGTCCCCTCACGTCTAGGAATTTATCCTATACTCAGAGGCATGCACGAAAACTTAGCCACAGGAGAGCTATTGCTAGTAATCATCTGAAACAACCAGATGATGGCATCCCATGCCGCCAGGAAGCAGAATGCTTAAGAAGATGTGGTATTAAGTGAAAAAGAAGGTAATAAAACAATACCTCCTGTATAATTTTTACAAGGAAACATTTACATATGAGCAAATGTCATTTATTGAAAGAATGTACATAAATTAACCTTGGGGATCCGCAGCTATTCTGTTCCAAAATGTATACGATCCACACGTGTAACTTCTCTAATAAAAATTTGCATCTGCTGTGTCCTGGCACCTAGAGCATTTCATCAAGAGCTGCTGCATGCATGCGCTGGCGGATCCTATGGGGGAGGAAGGTCCTACGGGGCCACATGGGCGGGGTGGGGGGTGGCAGGTGAAGAGGGGCTGGGCGTCTCTTGTCTCCATTGAAAGCCCACTGGTCCTGTTTGCTGCACGCTGGACCTGTCCTTCCAGCTCCTCTGGAACTCGGGTGACATCCCAATGTGGTCAGTTCTCTCTCAGCTAACTCATCGAAACCCTCTCTCTGCTTTGCCACCACCAGCTCTCTCTCCCTTCAGGATCACACACTTGAAGGACAATCCCTCACCTTCCACTAAGAGTCCCAGAGGAGAGATGAACCGAGACCTGCTTTGGAGAAGGTTATAGCGTGTGGGAACAGGGGGAGGAGGGGAAGTGCCCGCTCCCGGGCCACCAGGCTGACGGAGACCACATCTCTTTAACAGCAGAGTTTCACCTGTCTGTATTCCTAGGGAATCTACCAGGTTTGGAAGAATTTGAGGGAAAATCAAAGAATGGAGACTCCTGGGATGATTCAACCAGGGCTGAATTGCCCCCATGGAGGGGAGCAACTGTGCCCCAAAAAGCTCTCAGAGACCCGGAGCCAAGTCTGACAAAGGAACACACAACTACTGCAGAGAATTTGGAAAAGACAGACTAGAACAAGGGAGATGAAAGCTACCCACCACCTGCCACTGCTTTCCTGACATAAGAAAGGACAAGGCAGCACCGACTTCCGCTGGAGCAGGACACGGTCTCCTTTGGGCACCTGTAGTCACCGGGGCAGTCGACCACTACTGGGATCCCCGGCTCGTTTCCCACTGTGAGATTTGACTGGGGATTTGAAGAGCAACATGGACCAGATTTTAGAGGACAGTGTAGGCGCCTTGTCTCCACCAGGGCCACCACTCAGTACTGTGAAGTCACAACGCGGACGGCTCATAAAGTGTGCCCCCTGTCTCCCTCTCAGGCCTCTCAGCACCCTTGCAGGGCGGGAGGGTGGCCACAGTCACAGCCACGGTGGAGGAGCAGCGCAGCCCAGCATCCCCACGCCGTCCCGGGCGCTTGCCAACTGAAAGCCCAGGAAGGCAGAGCAAGAGGGAAGCACCCCCCCCACGCCCAGATTACGTGCTCTTGTCTAGCTGCATGTCTGGAGCTGTGCCGCCGGGGACTAGGACAGCGCCACGGGTTCCTAAAAACCTTTGAAAAATAATTCTGCCAAAGCCTGTGCCATCAACAGCATTCTTTCCACCAACAGCCAGCGAGAGCCTGGGCTGTTTGCTGTTGGAAGGAGGGCAGATCACACTCGAGCCAGCAAATGCTCCTGTGAGCAGGAATGTCCCTGTAAACAGGAGTGAGGGTGAGGTTTGGGAGGCTTGGCTGCCAACAGCTGGGCTGCCCTCACAGGGTCCATAGCGAAACCTCCACCCACCCTCTCCAGCACCCAACATACGTGCAGCCAGAGACCCCTGCAGACCCAGCAGAAAGCAGAGGAGGGCCAGCCCACCAGGCTGGGCAGACGTGGCGAGGTCCATGGTGTCCTTCCTTGTCTGTTGACATTCTGGTGGGGGAGGTGAGCAAAGTTCTCAAATTACCCAGAGGGAGGGGGGAGGGAGACCTAGCTTCCCAAGCCCTAGGTGCCAAAGGCCGCTGGAGGGGGGATCAGGAGCGGAAGGACCGGGCCTGAGCCCAGGACGCCGGGTCCAGGAATCCAGGCCCAGGTAGCATGGCTGAGTCTTTGAAGCAGAGGTTCGTTCTTCGAAATGGAGGTGTTAGGATATGCATCTGGCACAAGCATCTCCAATGCAGTTTAGGATTTTGAAGCCCATAGTTCTATCACTGCAACTGGGAAAACAGAGTTAAACTGTAGTGAAAAACCACAGCCCACAGTAATCACACTAGTCAAAGGAGAGCATGTGTTGAGTGTGAATGTTAATGTTTTTAAGGGAGCCACCGAGGAGACGGATGGGGCTGTCCTCATCTCGGAGGCGTGGTTTCTTAGGGGAGCTAGAGCGTCAGGTGGAGAAGCCCAGGGAAAGGGGCATCTGCCCCTAGCTGGGCCCCCAACTCTGTTTTAGTTACAGATGGCACCCTTCTGTCCCCAGCATCCAGGTCTTGTCCCTCCCTTTCCGTCTGGTCCCAGGGCACAGCTAGGGCAACTCCCTGTCCGGGCTGCCTCTGTGGAAATCATATCCTTTCTGTGAATGGGTGGAGACTGGGGACACCAGTGCTGCTTATTTCCGGCCGGTCTCAGCCCTACTCGCCAACAGGAAGAATCAGTCCTTAGAGGAGCTGTTTTATTGATCACCTATGGAATTTTTAAAAACACGTTTTTATTGATTTCAAAGAGGAAGGGAGAGGGTGAGAGAGATAGAAACATCAATGATGAGAGAGAATCATTGGCTACAAATTGGCTGCCTCCTCCCCCCCCCCCCCCCCCATTGGAGATGGAGTCTGAAACCCAGGCATGTGCCCTGACCGGGAATTGAACCCTGACATCCTGGTTCATGGGTTGACGCTCAACCGCTGAGTCACGCCAGTCAGGCACTTCTGGAAACCTATCTAATAAAAGAGTAATATGCAAATTAACCATTACTCCAACACACAAGATGGCCACTCCCATGTGGACACAAGATGGCTACCACAAGATGGCCGGCAGGGGAGGGCAGTTGGGAGGGACCAGGCCTGCAGGGGAGGGCAGTTGGGGGCAACCAGGCCGGCAGGGGAGTGCAGTTAGGCATTGATCAGGCTGGCAGGGGAGTGGTTAGGGGGTGATCAGGCTGTCAGGCAGAAGCAGTTAGGGGCAATCAGGCAGGCAGGCAGGCGAGCAGTTGGGAGACAGCAGTCCTGGATTGTGAGGGGGATGTCCAATTGCCCGTTCAGGCCCGAGCCCACCGGCAGTTGGACATCCCTCGAGGGTTCCCAGATTGGAGAGGGTACAGGCTGGGCTGAGGGACACCCCCCCACCCTGCCCCATGCATGAATTTCGTGCACCAGGCCTCTAGTTTTTAATAATTGTTTAGGAATTTATTTTTGGAGGAGGGAGGATGGAGGAAAAGATATTTTAGCATTAGACTGCTCCTCCTAGCCACAGCCCTTTTTGGAGACATTTCTGTTCTTGACTTTCTTTGGATTCTTCTTCTTAAAGAGATGGCTAAACCCATAAAACCATCTGAGCCTGGGATCTGGAGTAATTTTTTTAAACTGCAAGTCAATTTATTTGTTATTAATCAGCCCAAGTATTTTATTTCTTCCTGATTAATTTTAACAGTTTGCTTTCTTTAAAAAATTCCTATTTTGCTTTCAAATGTATTGGCAGAAAGTTGTTCATAATGGTTCTCTCACTTTAAAACCTTTATTTGTTGTGAAGTTTTTCAGGTTTTTTTTTCTATCAATTGCTGTATTTTATTATTTTTCAAGGAACAAGGTTTTTATTTTATCAATTTGTTTTGATTTTTAATATTTTCTTCTCTGAATTGTACTAATTCCTCCTTTATACTTCCTTTGAGTTATATTGGTCTTACTTTTAGCTTCTTTAAATGGTAAACTCATTAATTTTATCATTAAATGCAGCTGGGCTATCAATGCCACTCTAAGCTATGCTTTAGCTGCACTCCTGAGTGCTCATATGCATAATTCTGTAGTCCTGCAGATATCAGAATTTCCAATGACATTTCTTTGCTAACCTTTAAAATTGTCTTTTCATTGTTTTTTAAAATTGTGTGTGTATTTCATGTGTTTTGGAAAATAATACATATTTTTATACTTTTAGGGGACAAATGGGTATTAACACCTGTGAGAGGTAACATTTTCACCCTTGACTGCTAATCTTTGCTCTCTATATTTTGAGCATAATTGTTATATGCTTAACCAAGTCCTAAATTGCATTTCATGTGTTATCAACATTGCTATCCCAGCTTCCGTTTGGTTATAATTTGTCTGTTACATCTTTTTTCTTTCTTCTATTTTCAACCTTTGCATAACTTTGTTTTATGGTCTCTCTTAGCAATTGTTACATCCAATTTGATACTCTTTCCATAGGTCAGTTTAGCATCATCATATATGTTGCGACTGAGAAATATTTGGACTTATTTCTTCCATCATCTTTTGTGTTCCAGTTCATCATGATTTTCCCTTTCTGTACCCTACTCTTTTTCTACCGGATCAACGACCCTTCTTTCTTCTCTACCTTTCTGGTTTAAAAGTTATCAAATGTATTCTTGTTCTGGGATGGTAATTTTACATTTCTTTTGTCACCTTTATATTGTTGACATACATAATAAACTTATTGTTATTCCATCTTCACCACTTTTCTGACAACGTAAAGTGTTTGGAACATGCTCACTGCCTGCCCCATTTCTGCTCGAACACGTGCTTGCCAACCTGTGAGTAGATGCGCAAAACAGAGCACTGCTGTGCTGGGCACGCAGACCTGAGGGATTCTGCGCCTTTACAGATGAAGGCAGACAGCAAGAGTTGCTGATATTTATTCAAACTCCATCCATATAATAAAGAACTCGGATTTTCAAATTTCATTTACATCAGCAGAAAAAAACACACAAAACAGTGACTAAGACATGAGGTTTTAAAGTGCCTTTATGAGGAAGCGATCACAAAAAATGGTGGGCAATCCCGGGCTGAGATGGCAGGAACGGTGTCTGAACAATCAATATATTAATTAAATTATGAGACACATCATTTTTTTTTCAAATAATTTATACACCAGAAGAAAAGCTGCCAGGTCTTGCACATTTACTGGTTTATTACCACACTCCAAGGCCTGGCTAGCGATGAGGCCTTGCCCATGGTGGTGGGAGGAAGCCTGTCGGCCTCGCTACGGCAGGGCCCGGGCTCAGGGAGGGCTGTAAAGTGACAATATCCAGCAGCATGGAGGCTATAAATACATCCCTTACATTGGATACATATGTACACGCATCAACATATATACACACATATAAAAATATCTGCCCCAGCCGATACAGAGAGTGTTTCCAAAGAACAGAAGGTGTTTCTGAAACACACAAAAAAGGTAAAACAGAAGAGTTTTCTTTCCAGTTCTGCTTTGATTGGAATAAAATAAACTCTGCACCTTTAAATTTCTATACTCCGGGTGATTTTATACAGAACACGCAGGGCGATTTTACTCCGTGTGCAGGTGGAGGAGGTTGGAAGAGGCAGAGGCGAGTTGAGCTCAGGTTTGCACTAAGCTACATATGACATCATTGGTTCAGATGATACCCTGCAGAAAATGCATCTTTATGTATTTTTTTAAAAAACAATTTAAAAATCCTAATTCAGTGAAGCTTGTTAAAAAAAAAATCAAGAGTCCCCACTTTTTTTTTTGTAGAAAAGAAGGTTAGTATTTTAACTTATAGTTTAAATGTCCTTTCGAAAATTAACTACACAGGTAAAGACATTTCCTTGGTTTCTAACTGCTTTCGTGTGTAGAAATGCTGCCTGATTTTATCAAGGGACATATTTTCATTCACCTGCTACCAGGTGGGCTTCAGAGACTGCCATCAATTTCCACGAGAGAGTCCCCCAAACCATTCTGCGGCATGTACAACGTGCTGCCATGTAAACCCCAGTAACAAAAAAATAGTTTTATATCAAATGCGGTATCAAATTGTCATTTCATGTAAACACAGTGATTCTTGGTAAAGATCAGAGGCCAAAGTACCATGAAAAATGGCCGTGGGATTCGTCCCTGCTTTAAAAAAAATGTGTAGAAGACAAAAGAGTCCCCCCCACCCCCTCTCTCTTCAAGCTGTTGGGTCAGTGAATCAGTGACGGCTTTTGGAAGCAGCCCCATAGTATGCACATCCCTGCGAAAGCACCGGACCAGAAATGTCAGAAACCGAAGCAGAGCGGTGGGGACCGGCTCCTCCCTGGCTGCCTGGCGGAGGCCGGAAGGGGTGGCCCCTTCTCGGAGCCCTTCTTCACAGGTGGTCTGTTGGCCTGCGGCACCCCCAGACTTTCCGATTTTCCCAGGAAGCTTGGTGTTCTGGTCTTCCCCTGGGAGCCGGGGCCTGTGCCCTGGGAGGGGATCCTGGCGTGGAGGCTGGAGGGCAGACTCTTCCTGAGCCTTTGCTCTGCATGTCCCCACGTCCTGCACCACGAGGTTCCGTGGGCAGCGGCAGCTCCTCGACCGGGTCTTGTCAGGGTCCTCCTTGTCCAGGGCGTCTTAGAGCACCGTCCCCTCACCAAACTAGGCAAGCCCAAGCAAAGGAAAACTTAGGGGTCCGCAGGCTTGCCTCCTGCACCGGGGGGCCCGGCGGGTGCTACCCCTGCAGGTCAGAGAGGGGGGCGCCGCAGCTCTCGCTGCAGCTGGAGGAGTTGCTCAGCAGAGCGGACCCTGCGCTGGACTCTGCGGGAAAACCAGGCGAGAAGGGCTTCGGCTCCGTCCTTGCACACTCCGGCCCCTCTTCCTTGGTCACAGGCTCAAGGTGGTGACACCCGGTGGGCTCAGGGCACAGCCAGCGTGGAACGGGGGGTCTTACCTGGGCTGCTCAAGCACTGCGCCGAGCTGGACTTGCCGAGGAGCATGGACAGGCTGCTGGCCGGCACCCAGCCCTCCTTGCTGGAGGTCAGGTTCCTGACATACCTGCGAGGGGCGTGGGCCGGTCAGTGGCTCCAGCCTGTGTGCCCCGAGCGGCACGAGGGGGAGCGCACGGTGGGCATCTTACCAAAGGCCCTCCTCGCCCTCCTGGACCACCTCCACCACGTCTCCGCTCCTCACGGCCAGCGTGTTGGGGCTTCCCTTCTCGTCGTCCACCACCACGGTGTACTTCCCTGGAACCTGCGGAGGGAGGCACGCAAAACCCTCTGCTTCTGCTCCAGGTGCTGAACCCTAGCCACAGAGGCTATCCAGCGACAGGGAGCCCTGGCACTAAACATGCCTCCCAGTGGCCATGGGAGCTGCCGAGCACCACGCTTCTGGGGCTCCCAGGGACCAGCAGCACCAGGCTGACCACCCCGGGGGGTGAGGAGGGGGGAGATTACCAGCTTCCTGGGGCCCACTCCGCCTTCTTCCTCCGCATCTGAGGAATTAATCGGCTCCTCAGCACTCGACCAGCCGTCGTTGTCCTCAGGGGCCTCCAATGGGTGAGATGTTTTGCTCCAACCTGAGAGAGGAACAGGCTGCAGTGAGGATCGCTCGCAATGACAAGCCTGTCTGAGGATGATCTACAGAAATCCCTGCAACCTCCGAAATGTGCCGCCCGTGTGGAGCGTGCCCCCTTCCCAGATGGCAGGGCACGCTGCCGACTTCCCTAATGCCTGCCGTGCTTGCTTGCTCAACTGTGCAAATGGTCCAGGGAGGTGGGGTCCAGAGCACCTGCTTCATGGCCAGGCCAATCAGGGGAGAGAATGAGCTCTTACCCAGCAGGCCCTGTGGCTTCCCAGAGGAGGCGGAGCACTTCCCACTTGGCCTCCTGCCTGCTGGGCCCAGTCCCAGGGGAGCACAGGGACCCTGGAAGACCACTAGCTAGACCGCTGCCACCCATCTTGGTTGGAGCAAAGACATGGAAGGGAAGGTGTTTCCAACGAACCTCTGTACCACTCAATACCCAGGTGGGCCAGGAGAGCTCCCCACACAAACGGCGGAGGTTCCTGACAGCGCCGTTTCAGACACACTCCTAGCCCCCGACGTGTGAGGGAAGAGGGTTGTGATCCTCATGGGACTGACGCTATCAGGTGTCTGAGCTCTGCAGGCCATGGAGGCAAAGCCAGGATCCCAACCCAGGCCTTCAGGCTGCAGAGCCAGCCCACATGAGCTCCACCACCTCCACGGGCCAGAAAACGAGGAGTTTTATAAATGATATATGTTCCTTCATTAGCACCTCTACTGCCATGGATCCCCAAAGAGAAGCAACTGTATGTCCCATGTGGGGGGAGAATGCAAGTAAGTTGTGGGGAGGCGGGAGGTGATAAATTCTCGATTCTGAATAAATGGGGTAAGTGCCAGCAGTGAGGCACCAAGCGGAAGCCACACCCTCTGGTGTTGGATCACAGCCACTGCATGGCATTAAATAGCGTTTCGACAGGAAGCAAGCGGACCCAGGAAATAAGCAGACTGCTCGTCAGATCTGGGCTTAAGCACACCCAGTTCCAAGTTACCTTCATGGCAGCTGGAAGCATGCTTTTCCCTAAGAAAGAGAGGGCGCTGGGTGTGCACAAACCACAGCCAGACAAGTGCAAAATGCACGCTCCCCTTTATGAAGTCAGGGCTGCGAAGGGGCAAGCTGTCGAATGGACCAGTTCCCAAGCTGAGAATGTTTAAGCTTGGCAATGAAAACCTTGTGTTAAAGAGGCAACAGAAAACCGTCTTTGCTTTCCTAGCAAAGGGATCTGGGACCCAGAGTTCCCCATCGGCCACAGAACAGTGAATCCCAGGAAGAGAGCATGTATCTGGGGTGTCCTCAGAGCCAAAGAAACCAGCAGATGCCAGCAGCCCTGAGCTCCTCCGAAAGCCCCCTCCACAGCAGGCCAGGAGAGCGTCTGAGCTCTGCCCACCTGAGGCCGGGTGCTGGGGCGAAGGGACGTGTGCTGAGCACGGCCCTGCTCATGTCACTACTGAGGCACCAAGCGGAAGCCACACCCTCTGGTGTTTGATCACAGCCACTGCATGGCATTAAATAGCGTTTCGACAGGAAGCAAGCGGACCCAGGAAATAAGCAGACTGCTAGTCAGAGCTGGGCTTAAGGACACCCAGTTCCAAGTTACCTGTACGGTGGCTTTTCCCTAAGAAAGAGAGGACGCTGGGTGTGCACAAACCACAGCCAGACAGATGCAAAATGCATGCTCCCCTTTATGAAGTCAGGGCTGTGAAGAGGCAAGCTGTCTAATGGACCGGTTCCCAAACTGAGAACGTTTAAGCTTGGCAATGAAAACCTTGTGTTATAGAGGCAATAGAAAACGGTCTTTGCTTTCCTAGCAAAGGGATCTGCAACCCAGAGTTCCCCATCGGCCACAGAACAGTGAATCCCAGGAAGAGAGCATGTATCTGGGGTGTCCTCAGAGCCAAAGAAACCAGCAGATGCCAGCAGCCCTGAGCTCCTCCGAAAGCCCCCTCCACAGCAGGCCAGGAGAGCGTCTGAGCTCTGCCCACCTGAGGCCGGGTGCTGGGGCGAAGGGACGTGTGCTGAGCACGGCCCTGCTCATGTCACTACCAGGCTTGTGTCTGTGCAGGAATTGGGGCTGGTGAGTTTCCGGCTACAAACCACGCGACCTGCCTGCTGGAGCATGTCTGGAGTTGTCACACAGTGTGGGAAGCTAAGGAGAGCACTGGGCAGGGCACACTGAGAGGGTCACAGTGCCGGGTGGCCTGGCTGCAAACATCTTCTCCCCTCCTGCCCACCCCGAAAGATATGGTGGGGTTTCTGGCAAAACAGGAGCAGAAGTCTGAGGACAGTGAGGACAGGGAGATGAAGACTGTCCTATGGGCAGAGGAGGCAGTGCCGCCTGGCCAGCCGACCTCAGGCCAACCTTCGCTTTAGAGAGCAGCCTGGTTGCGTTTGCCTTATGAACAACTCAGCCCCCTGGCGCCTGCAGATAAGAGAAGGTTTTCTAGGCACAGAGCAGCATCCAGGCCTGTGGTCACTCCCCTCTCTGCCCGGGAGCCTCTGGGGGAACCTCTCAGGCTCCACTCAGTAGCGTCCCTGCCTTCAAACAGTGTGACAGGGGAGTTGCCAGAAAGTATGAGACCCCACTTATGCCCGAGGCCCCAAGTGTGACACAAGAAAACGTTGTCAGTTGTCAGTGTAACAACCACAAATCAGGACGGCATCCCTCTCTGATCTACGCAGGATGTTGGGGGTTTTGCAGGTGGACATTTGGGCCACGGTGCCCATGAGTACCGTCACGCCTATTTCCTGTCAAACAGTCCTAGGTGTTGACAGTGAGGGAAACAATGGCCGAAAGCGTTTCAGGAAGTGAGCGCTTAAGCATTTGCAAGGGGGCCAGCGGGGAGCGCCGGAGTTCATCGGGTTCATGGTCACCTGCTGTGGACTCAAGTGGTCAATGGCGAGGAAGAGGAGGGGAGCACTGGCTGCTGAGCCCCAGGTGCCGTGCTCAGGACTCCCACACATCTACTGTGACCCTGCACGGTGGCCTCGTCTTCATTTTACAGATGAGGAGACGAGTTTGCAGAGGTGACAACACTTGGCTAAAAAGCAGTAAAAGCAGTAAAAGCAGCACTTGAGCTGCACTGGGCTGTGCTCAAGCCCGCACTCACTCCTGCCCCACGCTCATGCCAGCCGTCTACACAACCTGAGACCACAGCGGGGAAGCCTCCGATGTCTCCAGGTCTTAAGCAGAAAATGTGTAAGGGAGGAAAACAGCCCCTCCCAGGAGACTGTCAATGGGAAAGGACTCTTCTCCCGAGCTCCTGGGGCAAGCTGGGTGCACCCACCCCCCAAGGCAGTGGGAGAGGGGCCTGGCCCCTGGGCTGTCACGTCGGGGGCAGCAGGAGGGCCGCAACCTGGGTCCTCAGGGTGCAGAGTGTGGTTGGAGGCCAGTGTGGGCCTTGAGTGGCCTCCGGGTGGTCTCCGGCAGTAAGTGTGGGTATTCTAGCTCCGCCTACTCCCCTCGGGAACCTTCACAATTGTTTGCAAAACTCAGGAAGATTCACAAAGTGAAATCCTCTTTGAAAACCTGAAACCCTCAACCTGGGCCAGGGGACTCTTTGGGTTTCCCTGGGTGGCAGGGGTGGGGGCTTTACCCTTGGAATATGAGGGGTGAAAAGGGAGAAGGCCCAATTTCCACCACAGAGCTTGACCCCCTCTGTCTGTATGATTGGCCATCTCCCCGTGAAATGAGAGGTCTAATGGGATCCCATAGCTTCTGTGTTCTGTGTTTCCACCACGAAACATTGGGATAAACTGGTAAAGTAGGGGGTGGCTGGTGCTGCAGGGGCCTGTGGACAGGGGTGCCTTGCAGCCTATAAAGCCACTGAGTAATGAAGCCCAACCCAACCCAAACGCGCCTGCGAGATGTCAGTAGTCTGTCAGTTCTGGGCAGGCCTAGTGTGAGGAGTTCAACCCAGAAGCATGACATCATCACAGCATCACTGGCCAGAGCATCATGCTTTTGAACAAAACAAAGAGTTTGCTTCTGGCTCGTAGAGACCTATCTCGTTTTGCATTCCAGATGACGTGCAATGGCAAGACAGACAGCGTCCCTAACCGGACGGGAAAATGATGGCAGGCTATGTCCAGAAGGTTGAGCCACTCTACCTCGTAACCCAAAAGGCGTTGGATCGCTCTTAACTTCATGTCGCTTAGCTTTTTTGTCAGGACTGGTAGGAGAAGCTGCAGAAGGAGGAAGAGGCAAAAATATAACAGAGAGAAGAGAGAGAGTGAGGAATTGCATGCAGAGCACCGAGGAGGTCATGGGAGACACTGAATCCATGCTGGGATGAGACACGAACAGCGAATGGCCTAATTTTCACTGATTCAAAAAGTAGCTTCCTGGGTACAAAACCACGCCGGCTGAGGGACCCCACAGTTGCAGGGAGAGCCCGAGGGAAAATGAGAGATGAGATGGTGAGCAGTTGACTCTAGCCATTGCTATCATCCTTTTAGGGGGCCATGTCTAGGTTTATGTTCTGAGTTCTAGGTACATTTTCTGGGCTATGATTATACTTTCTATTCTGGCAAAGTGCCAGGATTTGTCTTTTTTTTTTTTTTTTAAGTTTTGGTGAGGAAGGGGAGGGGAGCACTGGCCATTGGTGCTCCCTTAAAAGTAGTTTATAAATTGGGGGGGAAAAACCCTCTAATTTTTTAGACCAGCGTCTGGACCAATGAAAAGAAACTGAGACAACACTGGCTTTTAGTGTCCACTGGGGAGTCCTGTAAGGGCCCACTGGAACTTTGGGGCTTGCTTCATGAGCCATCTTGGTGTATCCCCTTCCCATAGAGTTCACTGTCAAGGAGCCCTCAGAGGTGGTCGAGCTTTTAGAGGTCTCCTTCAAGGGACCCTCGACCTGCCCCGGGCGCTAGCAAAGGCCCCCTGAAGGCAGCCGACGGCAGCACTTGGGCATTCTGGCATAGACTGTCACTGCAGCCAGAAAGGTGAATGCCACAGGGACCGACAGGAAGAAGCAAGAAAGGGGGAGGGTGCCATGGGAGGGGTTGGGCCAGAAAAGCAAATGACAGGTCGTCGGTAAGCAAGCCCTCCTTGGAAAAGTTCACGTCCACCTTTTCAAAGAAAAGGCCCCCCAGAGGGCACTGGGCTGCATGGGCCAGACACACCAGTATCCGCGGAAAAGGCACTCGGCGGGAAAATGCTCCCGAGTGGCTGGGCTTGGGATGAGGCAGGCAGATGTCCTTCCCGAGAGCGTCCTCACGAATGGTCACCACACAGATGGATGAGAGGCATGCCACCTTGGCAAGGGACATGCCAGGAAGCGGTTTTCAGAGGGTGCCTTTTACCTTTCTGACCTTTGAGGTTAGCAAAGCCCTGCAGAGTAAAGCGCTTCTTGGAAAGCGCAGAGCTTTCTGAGGTAGAGCTAGTGACTGTGTCATCTACAAAGGAAGAGAGAGGGAGAGTGCAGAGCGTGTCCACCGCCCAGGGGGCCCTGGGGAGGGCACGTGTCGGGTCAGGCCGGGGCTCACCTCTGGGGCTGGGTTTGCCGGACTGGGGCGCGCACTGACCGTGAGGAAGAGGGGCTCCTCTGGGAGGTTCCAGTGCTCTGTGTGGGGTGGGCGGGGACCCCTGAGCTCCTTACAAATGCTTTTCGGGCCCACAGGTGGCCGTGCCTCCCTGACACGCCCACTAGTGGACACCTGTGTTGCAGCTCCCGGTACGCCCAGGCTGGGGCGCCGCAGACACCCACCTTTGCCCTTTTCGGGGGGCTTTGGCAATGTCGTTGAGCTCACATATCCTTCCAGGCTTAGGGGGTCAGTTTTTCTTTCTTCCAACTTTTTGACGTTTCTTGCATTCCCTTTCGAAGGACTAAGGGCGTCAGAGACATTGGAAAAGAAATAGTCAGTTGCCTGGTTAGTTTTTCAAAACTCTCCCTGGGGACTGGAGGTGTCCAGACATCCCTGAATTCCTATCCAGACTTTAAAGCATGTGTCCTACCCCTGCAGAGGGGCCACGCGTTTCTAGGTTAAGCCCAAACGGAATGCAAGGGGGACAAAACCACCTTCCTAGCCATTGAGCAGAAGGCGGTTTTGTCTTTTTTTGGGGGCGGGGGGGTTAGCGGGGGGGAGGTGTCTTTTTCTTTTAAAACCATTGTTCTGTGGATTATTCACTTTAGACCATCTCCTGTCCCACACATGCTTAGAGGTGGCTTATATAAGAAACAGGAACAATATGTTAAAAAATAAGAGAATGAATAAAATGTCAAAGGAAACATAAGGGCTTGCAGAAAGGGTGGGACAAAGCCGGCATGAAGGCTGGTGTCCGAAATGTGCCCACATCTGCGAGTGGTGGCTCTGAGCCTCCAGCCCTGGATGGGTCCCTGTCTGAGGGGCCACTGTCTCGAAAATGCTGGCAATTAACTGTGACCGGGAATAGCCATGTCATGGAATAGCTGACAGCCCTGCGAAATAACCACGGACAGAAAGTAATGAGAGGGCTGTCAGGGCCCGGCCTTGACTGGGAGCGGGGCCAGAGACACACAGCTTTGCAGCTGACCCCCTGGGACTAGCCCACCAGCCTGTGACTCCAGGGGGCACTGGGCAAACGCAAAGGAACCCCATCACCAAGAGGGTCAGGTGACAAGGGCCAAGGCAAGTCTGTGGCCTGTGCACATGCCCACTTGTGACTCTTCCCATGCGATGGCGTCTCACGTGCACGTGCCCCTCACCTCGTGTTGGACGATGCTGGCAGAGGCAGGCTCTGGGACTGCTCCAGTGCCCTGTGCTGGCTGGCCTCTGCGGGGAGAGAACAAACAAACCGCCTACGCATGGCTGGGGAACTTGACCCCGGCACCTTTACTTCTAAACACTATGAGATCTCAGGTACTGAGATTGCTTGGAACCTCTGTGAAGCTGGGAGAAAGGAATGGCGGAGACATTCTTACCTCGACAAGCCTGCAGCTGGCTGGTCAGCACCTTGCGGATCTCATTCACCCACGCTGCTTTAATCTCAGGAGTCGGTGCCTGTGTCCCCCAAAGAAATGCCAGGAGGTAAGGACTGCCGCTCCCCAAACACACACACTTGGGTCTTTTACTCTCGAAACTTCTGAGGACGCTCTTAGATAATGAGCGCCTCGTACGCGAGGAAGGAGAAGGGAGGGAACGGTGGCACGGCCCCTTGCTTCTGGACTTCACCCCAGTCCAGGGCATGATCTGACAAGGCCCAGGGCACGGCCACACCAGCCGGGGGACGGAAAGCCAGCCGATACGTTTGCACAACCACTGAAGGCTGACTCAGTGGGGAAACCCTGCAGCTGAAAGAGTCTGGGAAATGGCTCTGACTCCGTTCCAGGTGACAAGGGAAGCCGGAGTCTGAAATCTCACAAGTATATTCTGAACTTCCAGGGGGAGGGAGACTATGAGGAGCATGAACCGTGGCAGGGCTCTATCCTGCCTCAGCACAGTGGGGGGCCTGGGGGTAGTGCCAGGGGGGCAGCTGTGGAAAGCCAGAGCGGTGACCCACACCCTCGCCTTAGCTCTCTGGGGCCCCTGGGTCTGGCTGCACTGGTGTGGGTGCTTGCGTTGTAGACAACTAAGCCCAGTGTGATACAGGGTTGCCACGTGGCCCTGGGCCCAAGCCATCAAGTGCCGGGTGGGTGGGGTCAGAATTTTGAAGGCAAGTAGGAGGGGCACATCCCGTGCTGGCTGACCCCTTCATGGGGCACCTGGGTTCTGGTGTGGGCTCACCAATGCATGTACAGCCTCGCCTACCTCCTGCCCTCCCCAGCGAGGTGAGGACAGGTAAGGACTCGGAACACACTTCCCATCCCCGGTCCTGCGTGTAAGTGTGGCAAGGCTGGCTGTGCTCCCTGCACATCCAGGCACACATGCGCCGGGGCTACGGCAGCCTCAGCTCCTTTTTTTGGAAGGACACCTCTGACACCCTAACCTGCAGTGTGCCCCTGTACTGTGCCTGGGTTCAGCTCAGGTTAAAGACGGCCCAGGCAGTGCCCCCAGATGAATAGTGGTCTCTAGGAACTCCTGGCCTCTAGGAACTAAAACATCATGAAAGATTCTAGACACCAGCTCTCCCTGGAAGCCTTTCATTGGCAATCCTACTGAGACTTGAGGAGTCCCTAATGCTGGGCCATTGAGAGAAAGACGGGGTCCTACCTGTATGATGTAAACTTCCTCCCTGGCATTGTACCAGATCTCAAACTTCTTCACATCCCCTTTCACGTTCTCTGTGATGCCAACAGCTGTCATCTGAGAGCACAAAACAGGGAGACAGCTGTTAGTTTTGAGATGGGGGCTAAGGATGCCAGAGATCCCGCACGCCCACATCCAGAGATAAGAGACACGTGCCAGAAGGTGGATGTCATGACCGAGGCTCAGTTACGACCTGGAACGGGCCCCTGATCCTTCTCTTGAGGGCCAGTGCCAGGAAGGCTGCGGCCGCTGGAAACAGGCTTTACTCACGTTTAAGGACTGCTTGTAGCTGTAGGACGGGGCCTTCTCGTACCCTTCCCCGTTCTCCTCCCGCTTCTTGCAGAAGAGCACGGCCTTCTCGTGCAGGAACAGGTGTCGCTGCATGGGCTTGAACCTGGCCAGGTCCTTCACCTTGGCGTGGCCCTTCTTGTGGTCCGTCCAGACACTGAAGGAGCCCTGCATCAGCAGCTTCCCCAGGTCGCTCAGGTTCCCCTACAATGCGGAGCAACACGAGGAGCATTTAAAACCCAGAACGAACATGGGGGGAGTGGAGGGAGGGCTTTAAATGCCTGTTTCTGAGTGCAAGAAGCCCGTCTAGGGAGGCTGCATTCCAACTGTGTCACATTCAGAAAAAGGCAAAACTATGGAGACAGGAAACAGATGAGCGTCTAGGGGGGAGGGGCAGGGAGGGGTGAACAGGCAGAGCACAGGGGATGTGCATGGCAGTGCGACTGGTCTATAAGGTAACGTCCATGGTGGACACATGCCATTATACATGTGCGCAAACCCACAGTGAGCAACACCAAGGGTGAACCCTGATGCACACCATGGGCTCTGGGTGTCAGTGATGTGTCCACGTTGGTTCATTACAAATGTCCCACTCTGGTGGGGACCTTGATAACGAGGGAGGCTGTGTGGAATCTCTGTACCTTCCTCTCAATTTTGCTGTAAACCTAAAACTGCTCTAAAAATAGTCTATTAATGAAAAGAAACCAAGAATGAGTGCTGAAGAGACTTACAGGAAGGTAAACAAATTAGTACGTTGGTCTGACATGGGCATACAGAGGAGAAAGTAGAAATGTGACTCTAACACTGACTCAGTGCACATTATCAGCCCAGAAAACAGATTCGTACCTGTTCCCTGAGTGATGCTGACCTCAGGAAAAGACCAGGAATGAAGAGGTTTTCAGAGATGCGCCTCTGAGGGGTGAACACTTCCTGATTTTCTTGACATGTTGTTGAGCCCCCATGCAGACCCTCCCCAGGCCCCCTGCGTCAGGCCGGGTTTTGACCGCTTGCAGGTGATACCCACGATCATCAAAGCTCAAGGGCACAGCTCTGCACTAGCTACGGGCTGGCCTCAGCCGCTGCCTGGCAGATCCCCCCACCAAGCAGGCTCACGAGCACCTCCAGCAGGTGGGGGAGAAGGCAAAGGCACCCTCAGCGGTCCTTACGTCATAGCCTGTGATGGCGATGAGATGCATGGAGTCATTCACAGCCTTGAGGATGCCCAGGATGGAGCTCAGCGCCTCCTGCAGGTCCTCAGCCCCCTCGCAGCTCTTGCTGTATTTCAACATTTCCTGGCGGGTGGGGGCAGGGAGAAGTCATGTTCACACACCCATCTGGACACTGACCCCTATCACTCCCTTGAAAGCTGCTGAAATCCAGTGCTCTATCCTGGAAGTAGCCCCTGGGTGGCCCTGAACATGGACCCTGGGGACACATGATGTGGCTCCCTGCTCAGTCGGCACTGGCGAGGAGAAGACCATGCATGTGGACACTCATACCCTCTCTGAACATGGGCCTGGCCCGGAGACCACTGGCCTAGGAACAGCTCAGGAAGCTGCCCTTCCACCTCCCTGAAGCCCCCGTACCCCAGCCCACCTCAGCCTGGATGGATGCTGCAAATTGGGGGTGTCCCCTGACCCACTTGGCGAGTGCAGGCCCCTTGCAATTCCCCAGGGCCAGCACCCTCGTGCAGCTCTGCCCCCAGCAAACTCAGACTGAGATCCCCATCTCATGTGTCCCACTCCTAAACTGGTTACTCCTTCCTTTCAAATTTGACACGCGAACAAACATCTGATTGTTGGCGCATGCGCTTCACGCTCATCCACTGGTTCCCTCCGGCCTGCGGTGCTGCCTCTGGGCCCACAGAGATAACCGACTGGCACAGCCCGGTGTCAGTGTGGAGACTCCGTGTGGGGGGTTTGCCCATCTGTTCACGTGCTGTCCCTGCCCTCGCCCTAACAATGGCCAGCGCACAGTAGGCCCTCCACAAAGGTCTGTGAAGAGCCAGGCCCCTGCAGAGATGGGAGGAAGGTGGCTCAGAGGCCACCATGTTCAGAGATGGTGAGGCAGCCACAGCTGCCTGGTGTGTGGCTGGGAGGGGAAAGTAGCAGTGAGGTGGCCAGGCCGGGAGCAGGGCTCCAGGGCGTGCCCAGCCAGGCATGGGGCTCGCTGTCTCACCTTGAGGAGCAGCTGGTATTTGGTGATCCTCTGGACTGGCTTCAGCAGGTAGGAGTCCAGGCTCAGCTTGTGGTCCAGTTTCTTCTGGCATTCCTACAACCACCACACCTCGGGTTTAGACAGCGTTCAGGAGTCTTTGCTTGAGAGTCAACTAGCAAAGGAGAGCGTCCTGAAACGTACCTGGAAGAACGGGCAGTCGGAGCACTGCCTCCACAGGCTCTCGGAGCGGGGCTTGTTCTGACAGTACTTCTCGTAGATCTGGAACTCCTCCATCTGGGCCCGGGACAGACAGTGTCACAGCGCGGCTCAGAGGGGCCAGTCTGGCCTCTTCCTGGATCCCGGATTGCCCCTCCATTTCAGACGCCATGTCCCTCATTGAGGGACAGTCAGGTAACACCCCCACTGGAGTTCACGTCTCAGGGCTATATTAGGCCCAATAACCCTTTTACACAGGTTCCCTCAAGATAGCTGGCTTTGCCATAGGAGTAACAGTCTAAGAATAAACAAAGGACTAACACAGACTTTCTAAGGGGCTTAGCCTACACAGTGGGGCTCAAACTTGCATGCACATCAGTATGGCTGAGAGGCTTGTGAAAACAGACCGCTGCCCCCACCGAGGTTCCGGGTGGGACTGAGAACCCGCATTTATAACGAGGTCCCAGGAGACTCTGATGCTGCTGCCAGGTGACCCACTTTGAGAACCACTGACCTACAGCATGATGGCCCCACCCCACTTCTCAGATAGCACGGAGAAGCATTACAGCCAGGCTGAGTCAACACTGCTCCTCCTTTCCCTTCCAACTGCCTCTTCACATCCATTCGTTGTGACCGTCTCAGCCTCCAGCTCATTTGGTGGAAATGGCTTAGTTTCACGGCTGTTGGTAAGATGCATTTCCCTATTGCTAAGCCAGCAGTGTTTGGAGGTCAACAGGAGAGGACCACGTGGGACCGTGTGGAGAAGACAGCAAGCCCCATACCTGGCAGCCTTTCCTGCTCCCAAGGCTTCTGCTCAACCCCCTTTCCCTACACACACACACACACACACACACTTCAGCTGATCTTCCCGCCCTGGAAGGAGGCAGACATCGACTCTTTCAAAGAGAAGAAAAACAAGGCTCAGAAAACGTGGAGGACTTGTCATGTCCGCTGGTCAGTGGGGGAGTCTTAACCAAGACCAGGACAAGAGCGAACAGAGCAAACGCCCCATGAGAAGGGCTCAGCTCCATCTACAGTGGTTCTCAACCTTCCTAATGCCGCGACCCTTTAATACAGTTCCTCATGTTGTGGTGAACCCCAATCTCATTGTTACAAATTGAACATAATTAAAGCATAGTGATTAATCACAAAAACAATATGTAATTATATATGTGTTTTCCGATGGTCTTAGGCGACCCCTGTGAAAGGGTCTTTGACCCCCAAAGGGTCGTGACCCACAGGTTGAGAACCGCTGAACACAATCAGAACGGAGATGCCTGGCAATTTGGGCAAATCTCAAAGCTGGTGTTTTATAGTTTTTCTCTTTTTCAAACTAGCTAGTGGGCTTTAGAAAAAACCACATTCTTTCAGCCCTACCCAAAAAGGGCACATCGTCTCAGCCGAACTGGAAACCTTGGTACTTTGTGATTTTGGTTGGGGACTGCAATCGAATTTGAAGTTATTATTTTAAGTACTAGTAATTTTAGGAAGTAAGGCACGGGCAAGTATACATTTAAAAAAAAAAAACACATACCCTTTCTAGAAAACACCTTCCAACCAGCTCTGGGCAGTCTATGTAGTTTTCTAGCTCCCTCAGGAATATTCTAGACAAAGAAAGTTTGCATTAGGTTGTATGATAAACAGCCTGAACAAGATGGCAGCTGTAACAATTGAATAGCTATTATTTTCCAAACAACTTTTGTTCCTAACTCTGGACCGTTTGGGAGGTCTTGTGTGTCAGAATACAGTCTTGTTTCAGGGACCAACAGCCCATACCTGTCACTCCCTGAGTTTTGACGATATCAAACTTTCAGATTTAAGCAGACACGGCCCCCCTGAATCCCTATGATTTTTGGTGTTGCTGCGCACACAGAATTTAGGAGGCTTATTTTATCAGCACAGACATGGGGCGAAGAGGCTGTGAGCAGGCAGACAGAGCATCTGGAGGTTCTGGAAGCGCAGCCCTGATGAGCCAGCAGCTCAGTCGGGTTTCTGCAGATGTAAGGGGGCCTCGGTCAGGTCCCTGCAGCTTTGTTCCTGAGCCATGTGCCAAGTTTTCCTACGTTTCGGACTTAATCTGTCTGTGGGGGTAAACCCCCGGGAAGGGGAGCTCCTGGGGCCTCTTCACCACACTAGCCTAGCAGCCAGGGTCCCGGTGCCCACGCGCTGGCCCGAGCCACCGGATGCTGAAGGTCCAGGCCACTCACTCAGTTTAATTCCCAAGGGAAGGCTCGGGGTGGGTTCAGCTGTGACTTGCTGCCTCCTTTATCAGTGGGCAGGTGAGAAATGCTAGCAGTCGAGGGGCAAAGCAGGTGGTGAGAAAGAAGTCCCAGTGTTCCCTGGGATCCATAGGAGGTGGGGGCTTGGTGCCGTGATGGCTGGGCTTCCTGGCCCCGGGCAGCACTGAGAGGGGTTGGCTCACAGCTGGCCCTTTCTCAGGACACACAGACATCACCATCACCTGCCTGTCTCTCTACGCACTTACGCTGCCCGCTCATTTCCTTTCCCATGAGCTCCTGCAAATCTGGAGCAGGAGTCCAGGCGAAGCAGCCCCAGGACCAGCCACGCTTTCCCCAAAGCACCAAGAGGCCGCAGATCGCTCTCACAGGGGTAACAGGCAGGGAGGAACCTCTGATGTTACCACCCTTTCCAAGAACGGGCTTGGGAATACACTGTCCTTGCTAAGTGGTGTGGCCTTCGGTGCTGCCCCAATGTGCCCAACGCACACACTTGGGGTGGGGTGGGGTGGGGTGGCTCCTGCTGGTCCCAAGGGACAGGGAGAGGTGGGAGGGGCGGCTGCTCCTGCAGTCATGCTGGCAAGGCGCTGAGGCACCTTCCCACTTCGTGTGTGACCACCCGCCCCGCCCCCCTCCCGCTCAGAGAACTAGCCCTGGGCACGTCCCACCCAGCTGCTGCCTGGTGCGAGGCCCCTCGGTGAGCTTATCCCCGCTGAGGGGGGAGGAAGGGACACTCTCCGCCAGCAGAGCTCGGCCGGGCCGTTTGGTTTTCAGCTCCCTGCAGGCGGCTACGTGAGAGGCCAGACAGGTGGTCAGAGGAAGGGTCCCACCTGTTATGAAAGTGGTAGATTTCTTCCATGTTTCCGAATAAGACGTCCTTCTTGTTTTGAAGGCCGGCTGAGATGAGATGCGTCATCAGTGGATTGTCCATCTCGGCAGCGTAGCCCTGTGGACGGGGAGAGGGTCAGCAGGGGAATCCTGAACCACGGCCGACAGAACTTCGGGACATTTGAACAGCAGCCCAATCAGCACGGAGCCCCGTCTCCGCGTGACCACCTCGCGGGACTGTGATGCCGCCTCAGGTTTCAGAAAGCAAATCCACCTCCCATTTATTTACTCACTGACCCTTTCTAAGATGACCGTCTGGAGAGTACTACAAAATGTAAATGAATTATAAACAGCATCAACTTTGGGGGGCAAGGGACGGGAGGTTTCATCCTTCTGCCTTTCAGCCTTTTCAAAATCCAGGTATAGCCCAGCCAGGTGTGGCTCAGCAGTTGAGTGTCGACCAGAAACCAAGAGGTCACCAGTTTGATTCCTCAGGGCATGTGCCTGGGTTGCTGGCTCAATCCCCAGTAGGGGGTGAGATCGATGGTTCTCTCTCATCATTGATGTTTCCATCTCTCTCTCCCTCTCTCTTCCTCTCTGAAATCAATAAAAATAGATTTTTTTAAAAATCCAGGTATAACTTCTGTGACGGGGACAAATCTTATGTGTACACCTTGGTGAATTATTTATATGTCTACACCCCTGTAACCGCGGCCCAGATCAAGATGTAGACATCCTAGCCCTCAGAAGCCCCTCTGCCCTTCCCAGGCAACAGCCCCCAGCCCACGCCTGCACTGGGACATCTCCACCGAGACCGGCTCTGCTCTTCTGGATTCCTCAGCAGTGGTTCTCAACCTTCTGGCCCTTTAAATACAGTTCCTCATGTTGTGACCCCCAACAATAAAACTATTTTCGTTGCTACTTCATAACTGTAATGTTGCTACTGTTATGAATTGTAATGTAAATATCTGATATCAGGACGGTCTTAGGCGACCCCTGTGAAAGGGTCGTTCGACCCGCCAAAGGGGTCGCGACCCACAGGTTGAGAACCGCTGCTCTACAGGCATGGCACGCACTCTTGTCTGATTTCTCCCATTCGTCATCGGGCTCCTGGGGTTGTGCGAGGTTCTGTGCAGCAGCAGCTCTTTTTCTTGCTGTCAGTATTGTCCCCGTGCACACCCACCTAAACCTTCTTGCCCCTCGTCCCACTGACAAAGGGACTCCCATGAGTAAAGCTGCCACGAACCTTCTTCCACTTGCTTTTTGGTGGACAGGAGGCCACACAGGGTGGGGAAGCCTGGCCCATGGCCCCTCCCGGCCACCCCCAGGGGCAGGCTCACCTCCAGGACACAGAGCAGCTCCTCCACGTAGACCCGCTCCGTGTCAAGCAGCTCGTTCATCACGTGCCTGTGAACAGGGCGCCAGGACTTATTATCTAGGAGCAGATTCCCACCCGCCTCCCTGCTGTGGGGCCACCTGCACAAAACAAGCTCTGATTCCTCAAGCCTCCCTCTCTTCCACCCATGTCTCTGAGCCTCCCAGCCCTGCAGATTCTGCTTCCTTCTCCAGTCACCCTCCCCCCACCCTCCCCAAGAGCCCTTCCTGTGCACACACTCCTGTCTCCTTGCCTGGGGGCCATCTGAGCACCAACTCAAGGCATCACTGTAGCCGGTCCAGTGTCCATCCCTATCCTCTTGCACGTGGTGGGGTACCGTGATGATGTGTGGAACTACTATGTGCCATCATGTTATAGAGCCCCAGGAGGGGCAGGGGTTTGCAAACCAGCTGCCCAGATGTCTTTTTAGGGACAAAGACCACCTTCTAACTGCCTACGACCAAGCATCCCATTCGGGGTGCTTCTGGGTTGGGGCCATTGGGCATGATCAGTTCTAAAACAACTGTCAGTGCTTAACAAGGCTTTAGGGTTCAGTTCAAAGAGTCAGTGCCCCTAAATGGGGTGAAATGGGGGAGGGGTGGACAGGGGCCTCAGGCCTCCTTCTCACCACCACAAGCTGGAGGGGAGCGCTCCTGCCTGGGGGCACACAGCTGTGTGGGCAAGGAGGCGGGGATGTCCTTGGTGGAGAAGTGAGCTGGACGCTGAGGGCCAGGCAGCATGTTGGGGAGGGAGGGACAGCATGCTGAGGACTGATCTCAGAGCGTGTAGACCAGGAAGGTGGCAGGTGAAGGTACCTCGGTGGAAAGGTGAACGGCCCAGCTAGGCCGGAGGGTAGGGTCCTTTGGGGAAAGTGACTGTCAATCGGGGAAGGGCTTTGGAAGTGCCTTCCCTGTCAGGTCCAGAGTTCAGACCTCGCCAGAGCTCTGTGCGGGGACAGACGCAATCCCAGAGTGGAGTGTGCAGGACGGCCACAGCCGGTGCCATGGCAACAGCCTAGGTGTGCAGTGAAAAGAGCTGGGCTGAAAACCGTGTGAGAAAAGCAGGAGGGGAGAGATGAAGAAAGAGAAGTGACACCAGCTCATGGAGCCAGGAGGGCCAAGGCTCCTGGGAGGGACCGAGTCCATCGAGGGACAGGCGGCAGGCTCAAGGGGCAGTTATGTGGCTGACCTTGCACATGGGACCCAAGGGCCTGGGTGCCTGAATCACACTTATCTTCTCACCTGGACTTGAAGAAGGGAGAACACAATCCATTCAAATCATCAAAGTCCCACCTGGGGCCCAGGGGCAAGGGTGGCTCTTCTAAGGAAAACCTACAGTTCTCTTAGTTTCAGATGCAGACATGCCAAACGGACGCGTGCCCTCCATGACGCATGCATGTGTGTGGGCCCCATGAGGCCAGCTGGGCTCCCACATTGTGGCTTTGGGGCAGAGGCTGGCATTTTTCACCAACTTTGGCTCGTTTGGGTTCAGACTGTCCGAGCCAAAGGCTGAGACCTGGGTGGGTCGTGCTTGTCGTGTCTGCCCCAGAGCCGCTCAGTGGTGCCTGGAAAGGCAGCCCACCCACCTCCGCAAGATGGCCAGGCTTTCCTCCTCGTCCCCCGTGGAGCTGCTCCGGCCCTGCCGGCTCTCACTCATTTCACTCTGGAGAGAAAAGAGCACGCAGTGCGTCGAGATTCCAAACACAAGAGGATGCAGCTTCACGTCCCGACTCTAAGGCTCCGGCGCCCAGGCTCATTTCCCATCTGGGAACAGATCTGAAACCTGAGATCTCGCCGGAGGAGAGGGCGTGTGGGAGAGGGCCAGGGAGGACCCGGCTGGTGCCTGCCAGGGAGGGGAGGTGGCCAGGAGGCAGTGCAGGGTCTGGGCCAGGGCTGGGGCCTCACCTTGGCCCTCCTGTAGGGCCCTCTCCGGAGTGCGTTGCCCTCAGAACTGTTGTTCTCAGAACCTCTCCGGACACCTGGTTTCGGAAGAAGAGGAGAAAGGTGGGTGTCTGGAAAGGGAAAAGGTCCACCCAGGGGCGTCTGGGATTTATTTTTTTTTACTTTCAGAGGAAAAAAGCAAGCAGTCCCGAGAAGGGTGAGGAAAGCACAGCAAAACGGAAGAGAAGGACAGGGGATCGGGAGACAAGGTGGGGGTGGGCACACAGGGGTCGGCCCACTGGTTCGTTCACATCCCTAGAGGGGCTCCCAGCCGACAGGGGACCAGGCGACAGGGGAAGAACTTCTCGGTCAGGACACTTCTGTCCAGGAGGCCTCCAAACAGGCCAGAGAATGGCGTCCTCTGGAGCCCACACCCTGGGGGCCGGAGCCAGCTCTCCAGGGCTCTCGCCAACTTAGGACACTTGCCAAAGCCCTAAAGGAACCAGCAGGAGCTCCCAGCTGCTGGGGAAGAGCGTTTCTGGGGGCCAGGAAGGGATGGGAAGGAGTCTTCAGGACATGGCACTGCTGCGGGTGCCGGGGGCGGCTGACGTGGCTGAGGCATCGACAGTGCAGGGAGGCTTTGGGGCTGAGGTGGGAGCCCTGTGCGGGGGAAACTATTTTAGCAACAGCACTGAGGACAGGGGGGGTTGGGGAGAGGCTAGAGTCTGGGGAAATAGGCCCAGGAAAGTCCTGTGACAATTGATAGTCCAGTTCTCAGGGCCGCATGCTCTTTACCACAACCAACCAGCTCTGCGGTGCTGAGCAAGGAGGCAGCACAGAGAGTAAACAAAGAAGTGGGCCAAGTGCCAATAAAACTTTATTTATAAAATAAGTCATGGAACGGAAGGAAGGCATTCCCAGAAGGAACGAGGCATGCCAGCATATACCTGGGGAGGGGCAGGGCGACTTCGTGAGCGCCTCGGGCCGGGGGGCCACGGGCTGCACGGGCCTCGTCTGCTTGGCCGCCAGCTTCTTCAGGCTCGCCTGCCTCCGGTGAAACATCTCTTCCATACTCTCTTGCTTCTGGAAGACCTTCTGCACGTGTTCCTGACAGGGTAGGACAGACTAGTTAGCAGGATGCTCTATAAGCGTCGGTGTCTGCAATTTACAAACAGAACAACCATGTGTAGACTCGGCCTCAGCACGACCTCGGTTTAAATGCTCGTGACGCAGAGCCCATTGCCAACGCAGCAATCCTGCACTGGCCCTGCTGGCTGTGGTCCAGGAGGGTGGCAACCCCACCATGGAGTGAGGGACCAGCAGCCCTCTCCAGGCATCTGAAGGCTGCCTACGGAAGGGCAGTAGACTTGTGGGTTGCCCCAGGGGTGGGTTGAGTACAGCTGGCCGCGAGAGAGGAGGAGTCCTATTTCAGTGCAATACTGAGAGGAGCATGCAGGAAGCAGGGCCCAGGGAAATGGCTACTTCATCAAGAACACGCCTCTTGCAGGGGAGATCCCACAGGAGGAAGGATCACCACCTCTTGAGGGAGGCGCGCAATCATTTCTGCATAAGGAAAGTTGAGCCAGGTGACCCCTCCCCGCAACTCGACATCTCTCTCAAACGCCTACCGTCTCTAATAATTCATTAAATGAGTCTTTCGAACATAGAGTAACTCCCCACCATTCAGGACAGGGGAGCCGCAGGAGAAAAGCCCGAACTGGCATACCATCAGGTCTTGGGTGAGGATGGGTTCGTAGTCCTGGTAAATTTTATTGAGCTCCTGGATCTTATTTTCTGCACCGGTCTCCAAAAACTTCTCAATTTCTTGGAGGGCTGCCTCCGCACCATCCTGGGATTGGCACTTGTCCACAGGCTGCGAGGCCAGCAAGTAAATCCCCTCATCGCACCATTTCATGGACTGGACACGGGAAGCGTTGCAGAGGGAGAGAGAGGCTGTGTTAGCAGCTGTGTCTGGGCTCTCTTTGCTGGGGCCTGTCCGCTGACCACTATGTTTTTGGGAATATTTGCAGCACGACACCATCCCAGCTCTGCTGCGATGTCCAAAGGACTCCCTGGAGGGAATGCAGCACTCTAAAAAGTTGAGCAAATCACCTGGGACAGGACTCATTCACAGAGAGAGGGGGAGGCAAAGTGCAGTGAGTTAGCTAGATGGTAAGTTTCTGGGCCTTTTAAAGAAATCGTTAGTTGTTGCAAGTAAATTCTAGAAAACAGACAACTGTGTCAGGACATCCAGACAGGAGGGCGTGGGCCAGCTTCTAATCAAGACTGTGGTGCATCCTACGTGGAGGGAGCTGCCCACGTGGGACCAAGAGCAGGCTCGCCACCAGGGGTGTGGGGTTGGGGTCCTACCGCCTCCAGGAGGCCGTGCAGCTCCAGGGACTTGTTGAGTAGACCCCTCCTCTGCGCGACCTCGGCGGCAAGCTGGTCGCAGAGGTGCTGGAGCTCGTGGCACTTGGGGCGGATGGAGTCCACGGCGTAGTGCTTGTTGTCGATGAGCTGCTCCCCGTCCAGGGACAGGGCGTGAGCCCGCTCCACGGCCGCCTGCAGAGAACCGTCCCAGAAACACAGCTCAGGTTATGTTCATTATAAGCAAGCAGGGTGCTGTTTCCTCTGAGGGATTGAGGGGGTAGGGGTGATGGTGGGGTGGAGGTAGGAAAAAAGCCAGGCAGTTTCCCTCCACCTGTCGACATCGCCATTTCCTGTGCCTTTCTAAGCAGCTCTGGTGACACCGTGAGAAGCGCTTCACCAGCCTGTCCCCCACCCACGTCCCAGTCCCTTCCTTACGCTAGACTTCTCCTCGAAGCTGGCAAGGTCCTTCAGGAGGTGCTCCACGTGTGCCAGGCTGTTGCCCACATCCGTGAAGGTTGCTATCTTCTGAGCCAACACGTCTAAGGCGGCCTTGACCTGAAACAGAGAAGGGGCGAGAGACCCAGGCCCAAGTCAGAACAACCACAGCTGAAGGGAGAGGACATGAAGACATGACCGAAACCGGGAATGAGGGGAGGAGAGGGAAAACCAAGATCTCCCCCAAGGAAAACAGAACTTGAGGGGAACTTCCTCAATTTCATAAAAAGCATCTACAAAGATTCTACAGGCAACATTATGTCCATAATGTTGGTGAAAACAATGCTTTCCCCCTAAGATTGGAAACAAGGCAAAGATGTCCATTCTCACAGCTGTTTGAAGTGGTGGCAGCTCTAGCTAGTGCAATAAGGCAAGAAAAGTTAGAAATATAAACAAACAAACAAAAGGCATACAGACGGGAGAGGGAGAGATCAAGCTGTCCCTGTTTGCACGTGACCTGATCACGTATGTAAAAACCCCAGTGAGGACAAAACAACGCCTAGAATGAGTGTGTTTGGCAAAGTTTCAGAAGACAAGATAAATATACACAAATCAATTGTATTTCTCTATATAGCAATGAATACACAGGCTCCACAATTAAAAATACAATACATTTGTAATGGCTTTAAAAAATAAACGATGTAACTATAAATCAAACAAAACATGTACTGCACAGGTATGCTGAAAGGTACACAACATTGATAAAAAAAAAGTCTAAGAAAATCTAAAAAAATGGTGAGGCATATTATGTTCATTGATTGAAAGACTCAGCATATTTAAGATGTTGATTCTCCCTCAAATGGAAGTTTAACACGATTACTATCAAAACCCTAGGACATTTTTTATAGATAAAGACAAGATTATTTTAAATTTACACGGAAAAGCAAAGGAAATAAAATAGCTAAACACTTTGGAAAAGAAGAATAAAATGGGCAGATTCACCCACCTAACTTCTAGAGTTATTATAATAGTACAGTAATCAAGACTATGTACTGACGGAGGGGCAGAATACAGACCCAGAAATAGACCCAAGCAAATATGCACAACTAATTTTTGACAAAAGTGGAAAAACAATCCAATGGAGAAAAGACAACCTTTTCAACAATGTTATGGGAACAACTGGACATCCAGAGATTTAAAAATGAACCTTGACCTAATTCTCATACCTCATACAAAAAGTAACTTGAAATGGATCATGGACCTACATGTAAGATTATAATCTTTTAGGAAAAATAGTTTAGGGGAATATATTTGGGATCTAGGATTGACACCAAAAGTACAGTCCTTCACAGGAAAAATTGATAAATTGGACTTCATCAAAATAAAAAACTTTGCTCTGTGAAAAGTTATGGTAAGAGGATACAAAAATAAGTGATGAGTTGGAAGAAAATAATTTCATACCGCATGTCTGACAAAGGACTAGTATCTAAATTTTGTACAGAACTCTCAAAACGCAACAGTAAACACAAAATGGGAACTAGAAATAGAGACATTTCACCGGAGAGGATATACTGATGACATAAGCACACCAGAAGATGTTCAAGGTCATCGGCCATTAGGAAACTGCGAACTAGAACCACACTGAGATATCACTACACAGCTATCAAAATATGTACAGACAATTAAAAATAATACCACCCCTACTGCTGGTGAGGATGTGGAGAAACTAGATCACTCAGACATTGCTGATGGGAATGTAAAATGGTACAGCCACCTGGGAACAATTTGGCATTTTCTCAAAAAACTAAACATGCAACTCTCATATGACCCATCAATTGCACTCCTGAGCACTTATCTCAGAGATGTGACAACTTACGGTCACACAAAGATCTGCACATGAACGTACAGCAAAAAGCAACAAACTGTTATTACATAGAACAGCCTGGATGCATCTCCAGAGAATCATGCTGTGTGAAAAGAGCCAGTCCCAAAAGGTTATGTGTGGTACAATCCCATTTATAGAACATTTTTCATGACAACAAGGGACATGGAGATGAGTGTTTGCCAGGGGTTCAGGAGGGAGTAGAAGGAGGAGGGGGGTGGGCGTGTCTATGAAAGGGCAACATGGGCATCCTTGTGGGGACAGAATGACCTGTGTGTAGACTGTGTCAGGGTCAGTATCCTGGCTGTGATCCTGCGTTTTAGTTTGGGAAGATGTCACCAGTTAGGAAAATTGGGTGAAGGGTACATGGCATCTCTTTGATTTTATTTCTGACAACAGCACTTGAAGCTACAATTATCCTAAATAATAAAAGCCTAATATGCAAATCTACCAAACAGGGGGCAGGACTGGTGAGCAGGCGGCACCCAGCCAGCCAAGGTGGGTGCTGTGGGTCGCCTCCTGCAGAGGGAGGCCAGACTGCAGGTTAGGCCTGCTCCCTGGACATCCCCCGAGGGCTCCTGGTCTGCAAGCGGGCACAGGCCAGGCTGAGGTACACGCCCCCCCCATTCCGAGTGCACAAATTTTCGTGCACTGGGCCTCTAGTCTTCAAATAAAAGGTGTGGTTGTCTGAGAGCCTTCCTCAGTCCCCACAGAAACAAGGAAGGAATGATCTTCTCCAGGGGTGCTGTTCCCACTGGCCGGCGTGACCTCTCTGGTCTGAGTCAGTGACACTGCCTCACCTTGCTCTCCCGAGTTCGAGCACTGCCCACCTGAACAGTGCTCAGTGAAGATTGCTGGACTAGGTCCCACCTCTTCCGGAACGTGATGCTCATGACTCCTTGGGGAGGACTACAATGGGAGGACGGTCCACATAGAACCGTTACCGGTCCTCCTCATCTGCATGTAGACATGGCCTCACAACAGCTTGGTCACTGAACTTGACGTGGCTACCTATTTCCTGTGTATTTATGACCCCTCCTTGACCAGAGGTTTCCTGAGGACAGGAAGGATGCTGCCCTGGGTCTACATTGTCACTGATGGCTTTACCGTTTTATATTCCTTCGTTGCTTCAGGACCAGACCACAGGGAAGTGTATAAATATTCTAAACAAAAAAATGGTTAACAGGCTTCCGATGAGGTGGCCATCTCTAACGATCTAACACAATGATGGCGCATCACTTCTATTATAACCCTGTCACACTGAATCCAAGGTGTGTGCACAGGGCCCTGCTAGGCACACAGTAGGCACATGTTGGAGAAAAGAACATACAAATGACCATAAAGGGAGAATGAAGTTTGCTTGACTAATGAACAAATAATGTGGAAGTACATGCTAATGAACATATTTTGCACAACCTTTGCCTATAATGATTTACTCATCAATCACATACTCTAAGGTTGACACCAACTTGATCTTGGGGCTCCATGTGGCTAACAGAGACTATTCTGCACTGAACCATAGCCAACTGGGAACCCAGCTCTGGGCATCCAGGGGATCCAGGCCACTTCCTGGCTTCCTGCAGCCAGAACACCAGGTGCCCGCCTACAGGTTCTCTCCAGGCTCTGGGCCACTCACCTCTCGGAAATCCTGCTCAAAATGCCGGAGCTGCAGACACTGTTCTAGTTTTTGCTGATGCTTTGCCCAAAACTCATCAAAGGCAGCCTCAGTTTCATTCAGCTGGGCCAGGAGCCTAGGAAAGAGGAAGGCACTTGTGCTGGCTGGAGTGACCCGTGGGGGAAGGAAGAATTGCCTCCTGCAACGTGAAGCAGGGGTGGAGGGCTCAGCCTCCCAGCAGCCTTCTTAACACCCTCGCCTCCTCTTAGCTGGGCACTAAAGCACAGGTTTAGAAGGGAGGGCTTTCTTCAGGGCCCACTGACTTGAGAGGGAGGGCAGCTGGCTGAGCTGAGTTTGTTGATTTTTTACAAGGTCGAGATGGTAAAGGTCTGGGGTCATTATTTACCACTTTGATTCAGGGGTTAAGAAAACAGTAAGCTGCACGTGTGGGTGAAGAAGTGCTGCCGCCGCTTACTCCCAAATCTGAGAACCCCCGTGCTCCAGACACTGTTCTGGACAAGTGTGAACCAATTTGATCCCATCAGGTGCTCAGGCTGGCCCCAGTGTATAGATGAGGAAACCGAGTCTGGGGGAATTAACAGTGTGCTCCAACCTCCTCCGTTCGTGACATTGAGGACATCTACACAGGGTTCCCTCGTGTCCCAGGGCCCACTCTGCGTCCCCGGCACAGAACACCTGCTCGGTGTGTAGACTTCGGCCACGAGGAGGGAACCCAGGTTAAGAGTTGAAAATGTAGGCCAGGGTCCAGGCCGGGGTTTGTCCAGCTGCTCTGCACCTATCCCCAACCTGTCCCTGAACAAGGAGATGGGGCCTCGTTGCTGACCTGGCTTTCGGGGCCAAGAGCACAGACTGGGAGGAGGCGCGTGGTGTGTGGACATGGCAGAGCAGCGCACGATGTTAGCTAAGAGCAGTGAACCGTGTGGACACTCTACCCTGTGTTTTGTCACGCAGCTGGACACCAACAGGGGCAAGGACAATCACCCCCTTTCCCTGAAAGAGGAGCTGAGAGGCCTGAGGCTGCTTCCCTACCTGGGAGCAAGCGGAGCCTCAGGTGCGAAACAGGACAGGAAAGCGACTGAGTGCAGATCGCCAAGCCTGACAGCTCCTGTCCCCACTGTTGTCCCTTAAAGGACCCTCCACGCCTATGAAAAAGGGTGACTGCGCTAAGAAATCTCCTCCCAGGAAAGCTGCTTTCTTTGGGATTTGGGAGAAAGGCATTTCAGCAGGCAGGACTCTGAGGTGCCCTTGCTTCCCCTTGGGACGAGGAAACCAGGCTCCGAGAGGCAACGAGGCAGCACGGGTGGGGCCCCTGCTCCTGCCTGTCTGTCCCTCTGTCCTCAGCCTGCAGCCTCTCGCTGTCACAGCGGCTGTGCGCCTGAAAGGCCCGCCGCCCGAGGCCTCACCTCTGCACGGTGGTCTGGTTGTCCAGCTGGTCCTGGTTCAGGCTCTGCTCCGGGCTCTTGGACAGAGGCTCCCTGATGCTCTCCAGGATGCTCTGCCCCTCGTCCAGCGCCAGCCTCATGTCCTCCTGCGGGAAGAGCACGGCACCTCGCACCTCAGGCCCACCCACTCCCCGGGACTCTGACCAGGCTGGAGACAGCGGTGGGCTTTGTGGGGCATCGCCCCCGCGAGGGGAGTGAGCAAGGTGGGCACAGCACCAGCCACAGCGAAGTCTTCCTACCCTCTGTGCTGACCGCTCACTCACGGGGGAAGCAGGCGGGTGTCGGGGAGACTCCTCCTGCTGCAACCAGGGCAGAGCTAGGGTTACGGGTCACTCAGGGGCAGCAGGATAAAGTAGGGGAGTAACAGGACACCAGACCTCTAGGTGCAGCTTCTGCAGCCATCCCCGCTGCCAGGGGTGAAAGGGAGCGAGGGGTTCTCTTGGCATGGGCGGGGTTACCCCAGAGGGCACCCCCAGCGGATCATGGTCACCACTGATGCACAGCCTGCAATGTGCAGGTCGGGCAGGGATGTGGCAGACTCAGGGAGCACCTCTCCCTCAGAGCATTTACCCAGGAAGTGACAGTAAGTACGTGAGTACAGTGGCTGCTTGATGAATTTCAGCCTCTCTGAGTCAGCCCACCATGTCTCCGCCTGCCGTCTATGGGCCCCCGGGGACAGAATTCCTGTCTTGGTTTACTAAAAAGCAACAGCAACACCTCGATGGAGGGCCCAGCTGCAAGGCAGCTCAGGAGCTGGGTCAGCGAGAAGCCACCTCCCATGCCTTGCTTCAGTCAGAGTTCACAGGCCAACCCCCAGGTGCCTGCATCTACAGCACTGGTTTATGCCGCTTTTAAAAAGGAGCACATTTCAGTTCTCATCACAGAGGTTACCCGGCTCATGAGCATCAAAAGGCATCTTAGAAAACCCTTTGATTCTGTCTTACCTAATGCCGGCATCGGCTCCTTCTACTCCACCATCTCACACTCCGACAGAGAGCCCCCCATTAACCTCCCCCCTCAGAAACCGCACATACCTTTGCTTTGTCTTTCTTCTCCGTGTGTGCACAGAGCACCGAGCTCGTCGATTGGACGTCGTTGGGCAGCTCTGTTTCTGCCAGCTCGGTCCCGAAGGACTGCAGCATCTGGGCCGTCTGCTTAACCATGAGGGCGAAACTTTCGATGGCCTTGGGAAGAGGGAGAACACCATCACAAAGCTTTGCACGCACCGCACCCTCCTGCTGCCTGCAAAGCGCCCCCGAGGACCGGCCGGGACATCTTCACGGGGACGGGGCCACGGCAAGCCTGGTCTGTAGAGTAAATACCTTCCCGCTGGTTCTTAGCCTCACGGCCTCTTCAGACACATACCAGACACTCCTTACATAGGCTTTCATCAGCGAGAGTCATTCTAGGCTCAGGGTCTCTCTCCTTGTTGAGAGAGGCGTGAGTGCCGCAATCTACAACAATCTGGGGCTTTTCTCTCTTTCTTTTCCGTCTCTGAGCCCAGAGAAAGCCACTCCCGAACTTATTACTCATGTTATTTCTTTGGATGACTAAGGTCCACTGAGACCATCTCCTCATTCTTGGGGAGAAAACTTGGGTTTTCACAGGAACATGTCTTTGGAAAAGGCAGCATCGAAATTCAAAAGCAATTCTAAGGGTCTCACCGGGGATTATTGCGAGCCACAGCCCGTAGCCCACATCCACGGGAGAGTGCCGGAAAGACTCACTGTGCGGTGACACAACCACCTGGTGTGGCAGTAATCCAGGGTCCCGCCCAGGTCCTCGGTCAACTGGGACTTGTCGATGTAACCGTGTAATTCTGGTACTGAGCTCAGCATTATGACCTAGAGGAGAAAGGAAACCGCCTCCATACACAGAACGCCCAGCAGACAGTCAGGAAACGTTTTCTTGCTGGTGGCCGTGTTGACCGAAGTCACTGGCTTTGGGCCTGGCTTTCAATCCCAGCTCTACCACTAACCGGCTGGTTGACTTGAGGCAAGTCGCTTATTTTCCCTGTGTCTCAGCTTCCCCATTCATGAAATGGGTACAGGATGACTAATCCCACCAGATGACAGCCACTGAAGGGTGCAAACCCCGTGACCTAGCTGGGCTTGGCATGGACATCAGGCACAGGGAAAGCGCGGACGCTCCTCCGGCCAGGTGAGCTCAGCATGGTAATCGGACGGTGCTCGGACTCTAAAGAAAATCATTTGGTCTTCATTTCTGCTGACAGACTGTGAGGTCACTGCAGGTTCAGACCCAGTTCAGTGCCCTTTACCTGCACGATGGCCTTGACAGGGGACCACACGGTTGTGGTGACCAAGCAAGCTCTTCCACACGGGACACTTGTTTTATTGTTTTTTTTTAATTTTTTATTTTTATGGGGAAGATGCCCACTCGCCCGTGGTGCTCTCCCTTGTACCAGCTCTGGTCGATTTTCCTCTGTTTTATTGTTTTAATGTGGTTTTTTTTCTTGTCCTTTCTGAGGTCATTCTGCCCATGAGTTGTGGATGAAAATATAGCCTTTGCTTTGTAAGCTGTCACACAGATACTACAAAATAGGTCTGGAGAGGTTTAGCCCAAATGTGATTTGAAACCACCTCATGTATTATTAAATGCTGCATTAGTTTAAAGCAGCGGTCTTCCCTCCCCGCCCCCCTCCCCCCCGGCGATTCTGTCCCTCAGGGGACACTTGACAATGTCTGGAGACATTTTTGATTGTCACATGTTGGGGGGTAGGGAGGGTGGTGCTGGCATTGGTGGGCGGAGGGTAGGGGTAAGATCATGCACAGGTCAGCCCCACCACAGAGAACAATCCTGCCCAAACGTCAACAGTGCCAATGTGGAGGTCTTTTGATTGAAGCATGATCTTTTTTTAAATTTTAATCTTCACCCAAGGATAATTTTCCCATTGATTTTTAGACAGAGTGGAAGGGAGGGGGAGAGACAGAGAGAGAAAGAGAATCATTGATGTGAGAGAAACACATCGATTGATCGCCTCCCTCACATGATGAGCCTGCAACTGAGGTACCTGCCCCTGACTGGAATTGAACTCGGGACCCTTCAGTCTGCAGGCGGACACTCTAGCCACTGAGCCAAACCGGCTAGGGCGCATGATCTTCATTTTATAAAGTAGGCTAAAATGTCCACTTAAAGTAGAAAACAGTTCTCAGCAGAGATGACTCCATTTTCTCTTTGTGAAACCCGTTTTTGCCAACTCACTAATTTGGCTGATGTGAGCTGGAGTGAGGAGATGAGGGAGGGATCGGCCTGCAGGGCCAAGGCCTACAGCTCCCACCCTCTGCAGGCATGAGGGATGCTTGCACACACTTCTCCGGGCCCTCTCTTGTCCCCTGGGCTCCCTTGTTCTTCAGCTTGACTTGCTATAAGAACGTTCTAGACCAGGGGTGGGCAAACTTTTTGACTTGAGGGCCACAATGGGTTCTTAAACTGGACCGGAGGGCCAGAACAAAAGCATGGATGGAGTGTTTGTGTGAACTAATATAAATTCAAAGTAAACATCATTACATAAAAGGGTACGGTCTTTTTTTTTTTTTTAGTTTTATTCATTTCAAACGGGCCAGATCTGGCCCGCGGGCCGTAGTTTGCCCACGGCTGTTCTAGACTCATGGCTCTGATGAAATGCCTGTACTTTGAAGGTGGTCCATCCAAGGCCATGCTTTGCACAGTCACCCCAGGGGTGCAGAGTGGCAGGTGGGAATGAAGGATCATACTGCTCCTGGTTTCATAAGAGGAAGTATAATTTCTGCCTGAGTCGTTTGGGGCTTTAGTTATGCTCACAGCACTGAGGTTAGCACCTTGAGAATTTCGATTATCATAGATGGGCCAAGAATGCAATTACGTTTAGTTCTGCCTACGGAGCTAAAGCCGGGTGTACTTACTGGAACCTTCATCTTAAAGTCATCTCTGTTGAATTTGAAAGCGAGGTCAGAGAGAGTCCTTTGGAAAAATCCTGTTGGTCGCAGAACAAGGACGAGCTGGAGGTTTGCCGGGAAGGATGCCTGCAGGGGAACAGAGGGCGTGGCATCGCTGGTGGACCGCTGTAGCTGACGTAGGGGTCCCACATACCTGCAGCTAACTGCACAGGCCGGACAGGGAAGACCTGGTCCGGGTGTTTTCAACACAACAAAGGTTATAGACACTGGACTCCGTCAGGGGCATCACCACCTCTTAAGAGAAAAGGGAAAAAGTCACACTGCTTGATGTTACTTACAAACGAGAAAGTCAAAAGCTTGTTACCCTTGTGACAGACTGAATTGTGTCCTCTGAAGTTCAGATGTTGAAGACCAAACCCCAGTGCCTCAGAATGTGATCATATTTGGCGATGGGGTCTTTACAGAGGCAGTTAAGCTAAAATAAGTTATTAGCATGGGCCTCCAACCCAATGACTCGTGAAAATGGGAAATTTGGACACAAAACCCACCGGGAGAACGCCACGTGAAGATGAAGGCAGAGATGGGTGATGGGTCTACGGGCCAGGGGTCACCAAAGATCACCAGCTACCCCAGAAGCTGGGGGAGAGGGTGGAATACATTCTCCCTTGTGGCCACAAAGGGAACCAGCCCTGCCTTGACCTTGAACTTCCGGCCTCCAGACTGTGAGGTAATAAAGTTCTGTTGTTTAAACCATCCAGTCTGGGAACTTTGTTTTGACAGCCCCAGGGAACTATACTTGTCAAACAGAAATGAAGCCATACATACACACACACACACACACACACACACACACACACACAAGCTGAAGGAAAGATAAAAATAAGCGTGTGCACACACACTCTTAGATACAATTATGTGAATGTGTTCAGCTACCAGCTTTGCTTACAAGGTACCTGGCCTTGGGCAAGTTACTTAACCTCCCGGTGCCTCAGTTTCCCCATTTTGAAGCAGAGGTAACAGAGTGCCTTCCTCACTGCACTCTTGAGGGGTAAGTGACCTAATGCACACGCAGAGTTTAGCACAGTGCTCACACGAAGCGCTCAAAAACGTGGCGATGACAGACACATAGTAAAAGGCTATTCTAGACGCTGAAATCCAGGGAGACCCCATTACTAAAACAAGAAATTCTGAAGCAAGTCAGTTCGACTTCTGGATAACCAGGCTACAGGCACCTAAAATATAATACACCAGTGATGGCGAACCTTTTGAGCTCGGCGTGTCAGCATTTTGAAAAACCCTAACTTAACTCTGGTGCCATGTCACATATAGAAATTTTTTGATATTTGCAACCATAGTAAAACAAAGACTTACATTTTTGATATTTATTTTATATATTTAAATGCCATTTAATAAAGAAAAATCAACCAAAAACATGAGTTCGTGTGTCGCTTCTGACACGCGTGTCATAGGTTCGCCATCACTGTAATACACGAACAGAATGACACAGCCCCAAGGCCTGAAACAGATACCTTGGCTCAAAGGCCATCCTGGCCCACCTCTAACATCCATGCTCATCTAAGCAGGGCTGGCAGGAGACCCTAAGCCAGGGACCTGCGGGGCAGCCCATTGGCACACCAGAACCCACGGCACCTATGGATATTCCCGGGTTACGCCATCCAGGGTTAACACTGCCACCCACCTACTGGTGACACCCACGCTGTGCCTGCGACCCCGCCACTCCTTGAGCTCCCACCTGAAGGCCCTCAGTGCCTGCCGGGCACCTCCACTGCCATCTGGGAACCTTGAGGGCAGCGCTAAGACTCCAGTGATGGCGGCCTCTGGGTTGGGTGTGGAGCACATACCCTTCCCGCCTGCAGCCCTGAGACACACCCTCCCCACAGGTTCCCCAGCGAGTCTGCGTATCACCGCCATAGCCCAGGTGATGGGGACCATGTGTCCTCGGTCGCCAGCACCTTAGCAGGCGCTCGCTATGTGTTTGCAGCCCTGTGGGCCAGGAGGGGAGCTGTCACAAGGTGCCATCTGCCCAGCCGCTGGAGGTGCCTGGCACAGCCACCCACGTTCACAGCGGGACTCGCAGCTCAGGAGGGGCCTGTGAATAAGCACCCCAGCGAGCCGTGATCTCTCCACTGTGCTGCCCCTGCTGACTCCCTCGAGCGGAAAAGACAACTCAGAGACCACGTGGAGAGTCGGCAGCCTGAGGGCAGATTCCGGGCCATTTACCAACAGGAGGACCGTGCAAACCTGTCGCCAATGCTCACTGAGTTCAACTCCTTCGAGCGGAAAAGACAACTCAGAGAACCACGTGGAGAGTCGGCAGCCCGAGGGCAGATTTCGGGCCATTTACCAACAGGAGGACCGTGCAAACCTGTCACCATCATTTGTGAAACTGGCCACACTCTTTAAGGAAGACATCCTGACGACAGTCTCTTTCTAGAGGCGATAGCGAGTCACGCTTTTCTAAATGTCAATGTTGCTTTTGCCGCCCTAATTCACACCTCTGGGCGGATGTGCTCCGTAAGTACAGGTTTGAATGCATAGGATAAAACTGTGCCCTGGTCCTCCAGCGATTTCCCGTAGATGAACTCAGCTCAGGCGGCGAGGAAAGCCACCGGCAGTGGGCCTCGCTCGCCCCGTCCTGGGAGGAGGCACTGACCTTGCTGAGCCTGTGGCTGGAGGTGACTGTCTACGTGAAAACCGGTTCATTCTCCCCTTTTCTCTGCTTTAGTGTTTCCATTTCTTTAAGTTGTTGAATCTTTATATTAAAGAGAGTAGTTGTAAGATCCTAGCCAAGTGAGAAGGCTTAGTGCATACACAAACAATATTTTGAATACAAACAACGGTAAATTACATTTTCTCTGGGTTGGAGCCAACCATATGTACTAAAAGCCATCTGGGAGAAAATAAAACTTTATTTTAAAAATATAAAGGTAACTGGATGGAGGATTTGGGATGAAGGCTATAACATAACATCTTTTTGCAACTCACTCATGAATCAAGCAATCAGAAAATGATTACAATAGGCTCCTGTGTCATATGAAAGCAATACTGTTTGTTTTCAGGGGCTGACCTTGACTGACTTAGGAACACACAGGATGTGATGACTCTACATGTGCAATTTGGGGATAGATGAAGAGGACTCAACTGGCTTCTGAATTCATATTCTCAGAGTCTTACTAAACGAAGAGGCAACGCAACTGGAGCCAATGGATGAAGAAGTTCCGCGGAACCCTGGTGCTTGGGGGAACGCTGTTTGAAATCCTCCCCAAGTTCAAGTCACTGCCTTAACTTGTGCCCAAAGCCACAGTTATCCAGCCTGACGTGAGATGTTTAATTTCACGTGGAGCAGCTGAAGCCTGACCAATGACATTTGTCTCATAGTAGCCAAACAAGGAACACAAGTTTGTGTAATAAATATGAACTTGGAAGCTTGGATCTCAGTGTTAGGAGATGAAAAACCCAGAGTCTGAATCAGAAAAGCTGTCTGTGAGCAGAGGCCTCCGGCCGCCGGGGCTGCTGCTGGGGAGGTCTAGGTGCAAGCCTGCCGGATGGGGCATCTAAGACCAGCCCCCGGTGAGTACGGTTGAGACAGTCATAAACACCATTAAGGAAAAGACATTTTAATGAAAAATGAGTAAGAAGGGGGTAATCTCTAAAGGAAGGACAGTCATTCCACCAAATACTCTCAACATCGGGACACCTGGGCTGCCTGCTCTTCTGGGACCAGCAGCGCCTCTGCCCATACCCTCCCCTCCCCTGGCATCACCACCTGTGCTTAGGCCTCCGGGAACTGGCACGCAGTAGGCATTTAGTAACATTGTTTAACATAATATTATTTTACCACACATGGTGTATTTACTGAATGACCTAAAAATCCTGGGTCCCTCAGACACTTTGTGCACACACAGATGGCATTGGCTTTACAGGCAAAACCCCGAGTTCTCCCCACGCAGACTGAAACGACCTGAACTGCAATTTCCTTCAATGGCATGCTCTAGGACACAGATTGAGCCTGAATTAGGCTAGCTCTAAACTTAAATATGTACACTCCATTACAACCCTCCCCCATGCTAACACCACACACACACACGCACACACACACACACACACACACACTCACTCTTCGCGGGCAGACGTAGTAGGAGTGGGTTAAAACTTGAAGTGGAATCCTAGAAGACATACACTGGTATTTTATAGAAGAGGCATCTATCCCAGGACAGTCCAATCTTTGAACCAACTGTTAGACAAACAAAGAGTGATGCTTGAATTCTCAGCTTCGAGTCTTGTTTCTGCTTCTGTCCACCGGTAGAGATCCTGACCTGTGCCAGGTCAGAGCACCCATTGCCTCCAATGCCCATGAGAGCCGATGAAGGCTCTGTTTTGGATGGAGGCACAGCAAGTCTGATTTTAGGAACATTAGACGTTGGCTCCTCCAATGCCTTATTCTTCTCTTCCAAGCCAAGCTGAAGGCATCCAAGAAAGGAAAACGAACACCCCAAATTAAGGAAAGCTCAGCTGAGGAGACAGTACACATGGTGGCAAAAAATAGCCCTGAACTACGTGGTGTTATGTAAGGGCTGAGCCTCAACCGGGGGTCCAGACACACTTGGAGATGAGTAGAGCCGCTGCCACTGACTTGCTTCTGTGTCACCTGCAGCTGGCCAGGTGCCCCGGTGGAATTGTGCACCCTGGAGCCGCCCATGTGCCGATTCCTCCCGAGGGCGCTGGCCTGGCGGGTGCTGGGTGGTTGTTTTCCCAGAGCCCCCTTGGATAATAGTATAGGCTGGCTGAAGGTGGCAGCATGAGTACCAGCTCTGGCGCCAGTTCTGTCTCCCACCTCCTGGTCCCATCACAGAGCCATGGTAGAGATCAGACCGACACCCTGGCTCAGAGGTGGATGTATGCTCAAGGAAGGCAGCAGGGCTTGGCTCGTAGCGTCCTGCCCACCCCTATGGCCTGTGCTGTCTCAGGCACCCCTATATATTTTTCTGGTGTCTCTGGGCATAACTCTGACCACAATGTCTGTCAGCTGTCTGCACCCTGCTTGGGTGTATATTTCTTGCTCATTCTCCCCTTATATCCCCAACACCTTCACGTTCCAGGCACAGAACAGGGTTTTCACAAATGTGTTCAATACATTAATAGAATTTTTCGCATTGATATCAGTAATTTTTTATAACAAGAAGCATCAGAGTGCAAAGAGAATCTTTGACAATTCTGCTAGAAAAATGCTGACTTCTGGGATTTCCAAACCAGTACTGGGGAACTCTGTGACTTACAGGAAAAAGGATAGAAAAAAAAGCCACACTCTTTAAAAAAGAGTACTCTGTAAGTTTATGAGGATTTTAAAACAAAGGAAATCTGATTATATAACAGTGATTTTTTTCCAACCGGTGTGCTGCAAGAATTTTTAAAACATATGATATCTATTTAGTCAGGGGGGCTGACCTCTTTTCCCTTAGATTATCAAATAAAAAACTGACAATGGCCAACACAACAATAGGCATAGGTGTGAATGAATCAAAATTATAACTATTTTTTGTCAGATCGGCAAACAATATATATTTTTTGGTGTGCTGCAGTTCATGTGTTCCATGCGATGAGAAAGGTTGGAAATCACTGATATAACACACTGACGTCTTTGGAAGTGCTCTGAAGTGTTTTGATCTGTTTCAGATAAATGAGGTCATGGGAAGTGTGTGCCGGAGGGGCGGGGGGGGGGGGGGCGGGCCTGGGCAGGGGACACCTGGGGCGGTGCAGGGAGACGCTTTATCCCAAAGACACAGGTGGGATCCAGTAGTAAAGAACAGGCTTGCCCCAAAACGATGTGAACGATGTGAACTGTAGGAGCCAGAGCAGATCCCGAGCCTTTAATCATCGTTAAGATGAAATAATGAGGCAGAATGTAAGGAAGGAGTGGATTCTTCCACTCTACCCAGAACCCCACCACAGCAGCCTCTCTGAGGCCAAGAACCAAAGATGGCTGAACGCAAGGCCCAGAACGAGAGGGGAGGAGAATTTCACTCCGCCGGGCATTAGGTTTTTAAGAAACGCTTGGGAGCAGCGGAGCCATCACCGCCCAGGGAGACCCGGCCAAGTCGCTCTGGGTCACCCTGCTTGCCAACAATCGCTTTTCGGTCCTTTGGCGGCTGGGAGGCGAGCGTGGGTGGAACCCAGTGTGGTGAGCAGTGCTCCACAGTGGAGATCGTGAGCGGGGGTGGAAGCTACTGGCAAAAATAAGATTCAGGGCTCCCTGCTGACTTAACTCTTCCCTCCTAAATAATCACGGCAAGCTAAACACAGCCAGGACACAGACCAGCTGCTCTGCCCTGGAGGGTGGCACACAGGCTGCAAAACAGCTCCACGGACGTAAAGATAAATTCCTTGGCAGCGAGGGTTACCAAGTGCAGGATGGGGTTCCCAAGAAAGACACAGGCATCTGAGTCAGTCATAAAACTATGGAATACATAGTCCACTGGAAAGGAGAGGGTCACGTAGAAGAAGCTATTCGATACAATTTAAACTTCTAGCCTGAAGACGCGCTGTAACACACTCAGGGCCCTGTTACTCAGGACTTTGTGCTCCATTAAAGAATGAGTACACGGTAAATCCTGGGCAGCCCACATACTCAATGGTCAGAAATAAGCCAGCTGGTGGAATTGTTTTCTAATTAAAACAGGCCGCCTAAGAGTTAACCCATTTGAGAACACACACACACGCGCGCGCGCGCACACACACGTGTGCATACACACCCATGTGTGTGCGCAGACACACACACACACACACACACACACGCCTTAGCAACTGCTGAAGTCAAGGAGGTGGGGCTCCAGGCCTCAGGCCACCCGGGCGGTGCTCTGAGCTGGCTGTATGCCTCGGTGCTGCACCACAGTGACAGCTAGAACCCACACTGCCACCCAGGCAGAAGGGTCACCAGGAAAGAAATGCTGCTGTCCCCAAGCCCAGGAGAAGAGCAGGTGGGACGTCACAGAGCCAGGGTGCCGACACTTACTGCTATTCGCAGGACTGACGCCTTCACGGAGGTCCATTTGTCCTGCCTTCGGTCTATGACCAGGATGAATCCGATGCCAGCATCTTGCAAGCTAAAACGAGGGGGAGAGAAATATCTGCAATTAACGTGTGCAGCAGGGAGACGGGCTTTCGCGTAATCTCTAAGAAAATCTAATGATAAAACGATTCCTCCTAGGATCCTTATGCCACGTCTGCGCTGCAAGGTAAAACGCGTGCCAAGTAGGCGTCTGAGCAGACTGCAGCATTTCCATGAGCCTCGTCCGGGCAATTTCCAGGACTTGCTCTTATCTAAAGACGCACCAATATTTTCTGTGTTTCGTTTATTTCCCAACCTCACAACAACCATCTCACAAGGCAAAGATCCAGGCAGAACCCATCCTTCCTGGAGCTTATTCAGTTTTTGTTCCACAGTAAGCGCCGAGTCATTTTCTTTGCCGGGTTGACCAGCTGGCTAAATCCTCCAGGACACGTTGTAAGATCCACATGTTACACGAGTCCTAGCAGCTGAGGTCCTCGTGCTCGCCCATGTTAGAGAATTGCTCTTGTTGGCACTGCTGCAACCATAGGAGAGAAGCCCCCAGGCATCTGAAGGCTCAGGAGCATCTGGTGGAAATGGGAGAGGAGACAGGGCTCCTTGCAACAGCAGCATCTGTGGTAGAGATAACACTGAGCCGCTGTGGAGTGACAGCCTCCGTCCTGACTTAGCCCAGCACAGGAGCCTGAGTCACAGTGTAGAAACCAGGAGGGCCTCCTCCGCCAGTGCATCCCACATCCGAGCCAATTGTGCAATGCCAGCAGCTGCCACTGCCAGCCAATCCACGCGGGAGCGAGAGGAGGGCAGGCCGAGGCACCGAGTGAAAGTGCTAACTTCCAAGCCTCTGAACCGAAGGGAGCCACTTGTGGGTTGAAATGCAAGTCAGAATGACATGCAACAAATAGAAATTCTGCAGTGTGCGAAAGCCTGCTGTAAACGCCATGGAATAAAGCCAGAGCTGTCTTATCCCAAATCCTCCCCGGCCCTCAGATGGAATGACGGAGACAGTGACACAGAATGCACACCTGGGTGGGCGTGGGCTGTGGATTCTGTGCTCTTCTCCACACTGGAGGATGAAGGGCTCCGGGTATAGGAATCTGGGTCAACAACAGCTGAGGCCTCGGTGAGTGTGCAAGTCCTCACCCGCTTTCATTCAGAATAGCCTGTCCGCTGTTGCTATTAGAGCTCACGCGCGCGCACGGTGAGAAGGCAGTGATTGTGTTTCACACTGTACAGGGCGCTCCACGCAGAACTTCTGAGCTGGCTCAGTTCTTACGGAAGCAAGGTTTTTGTTGTTGTTTTGTTTGTGTATCACTCAAGTCTCAGTGCCAGGAACCTAGATTCACAGCGGTCTTGCTCCCCACTGCACCCCAACAGCAAGGGCTCAACACAGATGGCTGGCCGACTTGCCTGATTCGGGCTGGGCTGCTAAGGTAGGACGCTGAGATGGAACAGAAACCCTAGTCCTGTGCCCAGACCCTCCTTTTGTTCTTCTGGGTTGCTACTGGCCAGCCACCGCACTAAAAGCTTGTCAGGATATTCTTTCTCTAATCCTCATAACAACCCTATGAGGCAGCTGAGAGAGCAGACACAGACACAGAGGGGTTAAGTTGCCCAAAATCACACAGCCAGTGAGCACAGACGGAGTGAACCCCATGGTCTGGCTGGGAGTCAGGGCTCTCAGCTGCCTGCATGCTGCCTCCCGGGCCAAGCACACTCCTCCCGCCCCTCCCACCCCTGGGCTTCCCCCTAATGCCAGGCCATGCGGGCCTCCTCTCCAGGGGTCCCTGCACCACTCCCAGGTGTCGGGGGACATGCTGAGGGGCCTGACCTGAGAAGCAGACAGCGAAGATGCCCACACACCAGAACCCAGCTCGGGGCCAGGAAAACTCTCTTCCGTGCCCCCCCCCCCCCCCCCCAATCTCGCCTCTCACCATATTTTGGGAGCAGTGACTCAGAGGTGCCTAGACTTAACAAACATAAGGCATCTTATGTAAGATGTAGACCCTCCAAGCCTCCCGTGTGCCCACATGGCTGCAGCCGCAGAGCAAGGCCGTGTGAGATGCCCACCCCAGGAGCCGAGGCTCAGCAGCCCTCAGGGTCCCATCCTTCCACCCACCAGCTGGCTAAGGAGGGTCTGGATCTGCCCACATGCGTGAAGGACCTGGAGCTCAGGGAGCCCTGCTACACCCCCTCTCCACTCCCAAATATGTGATCTCATATGCCCAGGAGATGGGGCGCTTCATGCTTGCAGAAGCTGCCTCCAAGGGGGACCCTGGCGTGCCGGGCCGTGGGCTGACGGCTGAAGGTGGCAAGAGTTCAGAATCTGGCAGCCCCCCGCAGTGTCTCAGGACCCTGGGCACACGTGGCCCGCAGCACACAGATGTTGGCCTCCAACCTTGAAACACTTGGATCAGAGGGCCGCCCTGGCCAGCTGCCCAGCAGCTGAGTGAGGCTGATGAGCTCACTTTTGACCTAAATAATCAAAAGAGGCACAGAGCTGGAGTAAACTGTTTCTGGGGTTCACCACTCACTGGTGTCTCCTCTAACACCTTGGGGCTCACGGGCCTGGGTGCCCATGCGCCTGCTAACTCTGCCCGGGTGGCCCTCAGAGGCCGGGGCACACAGGCCCGTCTGCTGTGGGTCTGACCTCCCTTCGCTGGGTGGGAGCAGGGAGCTGCATGAGAACAGTCCAGAAGCAAGGGCTGGGCCGTTCCCTCCCGGGGAGTGAGGTCTGCCGTCACCCGGCATCATATTTGTCTAGTTCTTGGCTGAGCTGCATCTTGGTCCCCAGGCCGGCTGGGAGCGTGTGGGACTTGCTCCCCCCCCCCCCGCCTCCTCTGGTTTAAACCCAATTTATCACAGAGCAGGGATGGGCGGGGGACACAAAGAGAAACCAGGGTGACCGAGGAGGAAAGGCATTCGCAGAGAGGATGGCTGTGGTGGGGAGAGCCGAGGGGTGGAGGGGGCGTGATGACATGGGCCTGCTTCTCCAGCTACAACGTGCACCCATGACTCCCGGAGTTTGTTAAAATGCCGATTCAGACTCAGGAGGCCAAAGTGGGGCCCTCTTCGTGCATATCTAACAAGCCCCCCACGTTGCTGATGCTGCCAGTCCAAAGACCCACCAGGATCGCAAGTCCCACGACAAGCCCTGAGGACTTCCTGTGTGGGGAGGTGTGGTGTCTGAGCAGCCCGAGGGTAGGCGGGGACACTGGGGGTGGCTGCTAGACCCCTCGAACTTGGGCAGGAAAGGAGGGTAGGATGGAGGGGGCAACCCCCAACACCACAAGGAGATATTCAGGTGGAGTGAAGTGAGGGCCCCGAGGATGCAACAGAGAGGGCAATGCAGAGGTTTAGGGGCATCGTGTCATTCTGGAGGGCGGGGAGTGAGCCGTCAGGGGGTCGGTGGGAGAGGGGAGGTGTTGCCATTGGTGACAGGCCAGTGATATTTTTGGAGGAGAGGCAATTGGGAAGAAATCCCGAGGGACTGGGAGGTCACTGCCCTCTCCAGGCCGAGATAAACAGGTGGGGGAGGGCGAGGGGACACGCCTTCCCAGAACAGCAGGGGCCGGGCATTCATCTTCTCGCGAGCACGTGGCCGATACCTGCTGGGTCTGGACGTTTAACCATCACTCGAGAGGGCGCAATAGGCTGAGGGCCTCCCAAAACAGTCAGAGGAACCCGCGGCTGTGCCCTGTGTGCTTGCCGGGTCAGTTCCCACACCTGTTCTCTCCCCTTCGCAGGAGGCAGGGCTTTCAGGAGACGAAGCCAGGAGGGCCGTCACCTGGGAGCAGCTTGTATTCCAAGCCTGGCCATATGCACAGTTTCCAACATACTGTGTCCTAGTTATAGGAACAAACCCAAGCACCAGCCAAGCGCGGAAACAGGTAAAAGCCTGAGGAGGAACTTGGGCGGCAGAATGTTAAAATGTGTTCTGACCAATGGCGCCCTCTTGTGGTTGGAAGTGAGTTCCGCATGTGACGCAAGGGAATGCTGGGTGCCCCAGGCG